ATTGATGCAACCTCGTTCCACAGGCCAATTGAAACAGAATGCTCTTCACACAGTTCAGCCCACACCTGAAGAACTCGGCTCCTTGTATAGGCTGAAACATCTCTACATCGTTCGAGCAAAATTTCCAACATAGCTTGCTTAGTTCGCAGACGAAGGGACTTGGAACTCATATCTCCCTCGACATCATTAAAGGCTTTTGCAACTAATTTTCCAAGAACACCAACTAGTGCGTTTCTTATCTTGTATGATTCACCGCCAAAATGAGGGACCAAAACTCCAACATTTGTCGACATTAGTTTTGGCAAACGATCAGCAAGCTCGACCAGGAAACGCCCCACATTATCAGCCCCAGCAGTATCTTTAACGTAGGCTTTTGGGTCAGTCCTCCCAATATCTCTAATGATTGTCACGGCCAACGTACCATCTGAATACTTACTTTCAGCTCTAGCAACTGCATCAGCAACATGTACAACAGCAAAATCATACTTGTGTATCAAGTGCATGATTGAGGCACATGACTGCACAATGTAATGGTATTTTGTAGCAGAGGCTCCAATGATTCGGCACAGTGCATCTTTTGCCTCAGCATCTTTTAAGATTGTGGCATTCTCAAAAAGAGTGAACGAGTTTCTACAAGGAAATAGTATGAAAAAGTTGTGAGAATGTATCTTTAACATGGAATATGCAAAGATAAACCAGATTCATTAGGTCACAGAAATTACTTGACAATGAAAGACAGGTAGTTTTCATCTAGGTCTGATGATCCAAAGAGCAAGGATAGGTTGATCTCAAGAGAATTTGCGACCAAATTGAGCATCCTACCCCTCTGAGGTTCCCAGTTCCATGACTGGATAATTTGCTTTTTCCTCCCTCGTGCTGCAACCTGTTCATCCACAACATCACTATCGTAAAGACGACATAAGAGATGAATTTTTTTCAGTATTATATTACACTATCAACTGCAAAACGAGAAAACACCTTTGTGCTGTCGACTGAGCTGATGTGTGATTCTTCAGTCATAATAATAGTGAGGAGAAAGAAAGTGTATATCTTCAAGGCATTGCGATGTGATGTGATCCTATCAATGATTGGAACATCATCCTCCTGATCTTGGACAGATCGGGAAATCGAATCGACATTGGGAAGAAGAACACTAAGATTGGACCGAAGGCTTTCAACAAGATTACACTTGCAAGATGGAGGAAGACTAAAAAAGCTCCTGACCAAAGAGTAGACACGATCAAAAACATCTTGATCTTCGATACAGAACAGTTCTCTATCAGATAGGTCAAAGGATACACCTGTTCCACGAGAAGAAAGTAAACAAAATGCCTCACATATCAACCACGAAAGTATGCAAGCTAGTGAAAGCACTAACATAAACATTTAAACTCTTTGACTTCACACATGTCCAATAGAGCCAAAGAAGAAATTCGACCTTCCACACATTTCCTGAAACGCACTAAATATAATTTCTCTCGACTTAAATTAATCAATCTCGATCGTTCAGTTTCGCTTGATTACACGAATTCACACTAAACCCACCTGAGGACTCAAGTGACTAATGACACTATCAACAGACACAATGTAAATTTCCTCCCAAATTGCAATTGCAGAGCAAATCTTAAGCCTCTTGGAATTGCATCTCAGATACGCTCATACAGTGGAGAGACAAAGATAATTTACCTTTGACGAATTCTTCCAGATCGGAAGGACGAAGAGAGGTCACATCGACGGGATTCTGAGCGAATAAACGATGATTGTCTTCCGGATCTTCTTCTAGGGCTCGTAGAATTTGAGGGAAAACAAAGGGAGGAGCCATTTTTGTCTAGGGAGAGAGAGAGACGTTGCTCAGAGGAGAGAGAGAAAGAGGAATCTGCCTTTTGGGGAGTTTCAATTTCAAAATGAAATTGAAAAAGGCAACGGAGCGGGAATTCATGGATCATCTAATCGGGTCGGGTTCCGGATACAAACCGGGTCGGATCCTAATTTATTTATCTCGAATTAAATTATTTTAGAATTGATGACGAAGCGTTTCCCGTCGGCATAAAACTGGCCAGATAGAGACGTAGCTGGTGAATAAATACGAACACGTGGCCAAATCTAAATGGTTGGAAGATCCTTCAACGTACCGAATCATCTTTGATTTTTTTTTACCCAAGCTTTTGGCCACTCCAATGGCTTCTCCGGCCAATCATTTGATCTAACAAAAGATAGAGAGATAGAGAGATAGAGAGAGGCAGATAAGCTCTGAGATGGCGATGCCGCTGGGCATGGCGATGTATCTGATGAGAATGGTTTGGTTTTCTCTGAGTGGTTGGGTTTTCACTTGCGTGGCTATTGCTGACGAAATCGCTGGCTCTCTTAGAAACGGAGATATCGGTCCTTTCCATGTTGGATGATCGAATTCGACATCTTTAGATCTCCTTCTGTGCGTATATGTTCTTCTCTTCCCCAAATTTTACGTTTTTTTTTGGTTGGTTCTCTGTTGTTTTCGATTAGAGTCGCTTCAAATTTCCCTTGAAACCCCGAAATTGAGAATAGTTTGGGTTAATAGAAGACTAAGATAGATCATATTTTCTCGAAAAGGGAACAATTTTAGGTGGAAACGTTTATGTATGTATCAGTCACTCAGTGTGTGTTGTGTTCGGCTTCGTATATGAAACTATGTATGTTATGGATTCCATGGATGTTGATAATGCTTGTTAATGGCGGCCCATGAACAAAATCGAGATTTCTCAACTCCAATTTGGTTGTATTTGTGATCAGCAACTCTGGGATGCAAATAATGCTCGTTTCCTTTTGCTCTGCTGCTTGAGTTTATCACTCATAGTAGCTGGTTTTTGTGTTCTTGTGTTGATAGAAGTATCCTCAGGATCATTCACATGCTCAGATAATTTCTCTCTTCTCTACAAAAGTAGATCACATTGGTGATATGATCCATATGCCTAAGTGATTGTCTGGAAACAGTTCATAAGTGATACCTTCTTAGCTTCAGTACCAAAACATTCCTGGAATCATGTTTTATAATCTCACGACAACCTTTTGTATTACTTTTTCTCCGTAGCTTAATAGTCATTGTTTTGCACTCATGTCTTTCTGATTTCAGGAAAGGGCATATTACTACAGTAAATGTGCAGAGTACACGAGCAAGGTTCTATGAAATCTTCTCCTGGTACGCAGGCAAGGTTCTAAACTAAGAAACTTATCTATTGCTGCTTGTTGCTCTACTGTATCATTCATTTTGACACAGAGAGAGACAGAGACAGAGAGAGCAGAGCAGTAAATGTGTATAGTACTATAGTTTGTAGAATTCCAGACCATAAGTGACCATAAGTGAACAAAATGTTGTTGAAAACAATTTTGAGTTCTATCAGTTTTAAGAATCATTTAGCCTCTTCTGCTTGGAAGATCACACAAAATAAAAAATCCTTTGAATTTACTTGTTTATCTTTAGCTCATTGACATCAAAGAAATCTATTACATTCAATGAAGAACCAGACTTTTTTGTCTGTCAAGATCCATCACTAAAACAATTGAGCTTTCCTCTTATAGTAGGTTTTTTGTCTTATGCATATCTTCCTTATATCATTTTTAGTGTTAGGTTCTGAATGTCGAATCTTTCCCCTTCCCTTATTGAAAAGAGTAAAAGACAAAGAGCAAAGTACCAAAAGCAATAAAGAATCTTCAAGGAGTTTTTGCCTTGTGCAATTCAACTTCTTGCTTTATTTTTCCTCGATGTCTTTGTGTTGTTTATGTGTCTATATCTTAGACGTTTTTAAATAAAATGTGGTCCAATTAGTAATATATTTAATCAAGATGTGGTCCAAATTAGTTGTTCTTTTTCTAAACCATATTGAACAACATAATACCAAATTAAAATACATTAACATAATGCAATATGTAACAGCAAAGCACCATACTTTATCTCGTGGGGATTAGAATCTACAGCTTTCATTACAAAGACTAGTCAACTAAATAGTACCAGCTAGCAAAACATTCATCTTAGGAAAGAAAAAGGTATGTGTAATCTAGATCAATCAAAATGAGTAAAATGTTTCATTCTGAATAAAAATGAATAAGGAAGAGTTCAATGAAATGATGATATTAAATTATGGTAGAAGTTATGTTAATAACAGGTCAGATATAGAAACTTTCCCTAAAGTCAAGGATTAAATTATTCACGTGAATACTCTGTCTAGGTCCTATCTTGAAATTTATTATTCCAACCTTTTATGTTCTTTTTTTTTTAACACCCAACCTTTATTTTTATCTATCGATATATATATATATATACATATATTAATTTTATAAATAACTATATAGATAATATTTCTATATTTTTAATTTTTATGTAATTTAATATTTATATCTAGATAGAGTCATATCAAACCGTTTTGCTTCAAATTTTATCAAATGATAAGTTTTTATTTTTTGGGTGCAGATATCAAAAGATAAGTTTTGGAATAAAATTTTATATGATTTAAATTAAAAGTAGTTTAGAAAGTATTGCATTGCAAAAATAAATGCTGTAAATTTAAATAAAATATTAGATTGTATGTATATTGTGAACCCCCAAAAGTTATTATAAAATCTTTTGAAACTGACATGTCAATATATTATTTGACGAAATTTGATCAACTCTTTTTTTCTCCTCAAATCTTCGTTTAGTACTAATAAAAATATCATAAAGAATTAAAGATTGCAGTTATGTAGATCATGACATTTTCATTAATAATATTTTATTTTTCTTTACTTTATTTAAAATGTTGGCCCAATTTATTTATAGACAGTGGAGGAAAGTTCTTGGAATTGATTCTTCATTTCTTCTTCTATACATAAGCTTTGGTTACACAATCAAAATCAAATCGAGAACTGTGGTGTCCGAAAATCAACATCAACATCGTTCTTCTGCTGCCATTAAATTTCACCATCTTCCACCTCCAACTGCCCTAGACAGCTATTCTCCACCTTTCTCTTTTCTCTCTCTGTTCTCTATCATTCCCAGAGAAAATCAATAAGCTCAGAAGAAACCAGAAAAAGCAAAGAAACTAAAAGTCTAAAACCTACTATTTCACAAAAAGTCAAGTGTTTTTAATTCGATTTCGTAATGGGTTCTTCTGCTTCAAAGACCGCTTCTTCTGTTTCTTCTACTTCTTCCTCATCTGCGTTTTCTCCACCGCCGACCAAATTTGGCTCCGATTCATCATCTTCACCGGCGGTGCAGAGAGCTTTTTCGTTTCCGACGCCGTTGGTTCACCATCCTCCGGCGAGAAAAGGCGATACTCATCACCTTGTTTCCCTTACATCTACATCGTACGGTTCTCTTCTCCTCCTCGATCTCGATGGATCCAAAAACTCCTCCGACCAACAAACGCTGCCTCGTATCTCCATCTCCGGGAAGAACACACCAGATCCGGTCTCTCCTGATTCAGTCATAAACACTTGGGAGCTTATGGATGGCTTAGACGACGAATTCGAATTCGAAATTCCCAAACCTGGTAAGCGTCTAAATTCGGATTTTTGCTCTAAACCCGACCCGAATCGGAATGTGAGTTTAAATGGGTCTGCGTTGAAATTGGATGAATCTTACGAGATTGTGAGAATCGAAGAAGACGATGGAGATTGGGTTCCTTTGACTTATAAACCTAAGCAACCTTTGTGGAAGCATTTGTCTGAAGAATCATTTCTCTCTGATTTAGATCCCAGCATTGTCTCATCTTACAAGAAAGCTTTGTCTTCCAAGCAATTAAGCAATCATAGTAACACTAGAAACCCTCTTAGACCCACAAAATCCCTCTCTTGTAGCCCATCATCCATCTTAATCAGTGAAGAACCAAAATCTGTATCCTCTAGTCAACTGATTTCATCACAGGCCAAACCGAGATTACCAGGGACAGAAGACAAGATTGTACTCTACTTCACAAGCCTCCGAGGAATTCGAAAGACATACGAGGATTGCTGTTGCGTTAGAGCGATATTGAGAGGGCTTCAAGTCACGGTAGACGAACGTGACATCTCTATGGATTCTAAATACAGAAAAGAGCTTCAAAGCGTGCTTGTTGCCGCAGAGAAACCAGTTTGTTTGCCTCAGGTGTTTATCAGAGGAACTCACATTGGTGGCGTAGAGGAGATTATGCAGCTAAACGATGGTGGTGAATTAGCAGAGATGTTGAAAGATTTCCCTGCTTGTGAACGCTTGGGGACATGCCGGAGCTGTGGGGACGCAAGGTTTGTGCCTTGTACTAACTGCGACGGAAGCACCAAAGTGTTTGAAGAACAAGACGAACGGTTCAAGCGATGTCCTAAATGCAATGAGAATGGATTGGTGCGTTGTCGCGTGTGTTGTCTCTAAGTGATCTGTTTGATCAAAAGCTGTGTGGGTGAAAGGGGATATAGATTGATTAATGATGTGAAATTATGAAGAAAAGAAGAGAAAAGAGTTGATGATTCTTGACTAAACCTGGTATTTGGTTAGTAATGTATATTGAAATAAGTAAGTTGGCTCAAGCCTTTTATTATTACTCTCTTATGAGTTGTGTTCTTTTGTTCCATTTATGTTCTTGCTCCTTGACCCTTTTAACATTTTAAACTAAATGATTCTTACTATATTATAAGTACATAAAATGTTAGATGATGATTGGTAATTCGCATAATGGCCGAATGATTTGTTTTGTTTGCAAGGTTATCAATGAAAAATTTGTGCAGTAACAATTTTTATTCATTAGTTAATACAATTGTGAAATTGTCATTTCGTAAATGTGTTATCAAGATTTGTACCAAGAATTTTAATAACCTCCGTTAATGAAAATTTATGAAATAAATTACCAAGAAACTTAAAGTTAGCTAGTTTGTAATTCTTTAAAAACCAAAATTTGGACTTGATACTTGACTTTTCTGAAGCAAGTACTTCATATAACAAGTATCTATCCAAAATCTGATTACTTGCCAACTTGACATGCCTTGTTACTTTCCAAAATCAGATACTTGCTACTTGAATTTAAAAACAATCTCACTCAAAACTACAAATTACAAAACATTCAAAGTTCCAAACATTATAAAATCACAAAATATTCAAAGTTCCAAAAGATAAGAAGATTCAGATTCTTCTTGGCTAATGAGCAATGGCTCATGACTCTCATGACTCTTTGTTAGTGACAAAAAGATTATGAGGGTTGGATTAAAATTATTGGGCTTTGAAATTCAATCTTTTTTTTTTTTTAAATTTAGGGTTTTGTAAAATATAAATACAAATAAGTTATTAAAACTCTTATATATATAAACAAGTACGGGTCAAACAAGGCGGGTAACAATTTTTTTTTAACGATTTGATACTTGACGTGTACTTGCAAGTAATAAATTTTTGATACTTGTTACCCGCTTTACCAACGACAAATAATTGTATTTTTAGGCGGGTACGAGACAAATAACGGTTACGGGACAAATACCAAATATTCGTGCCCATCGCCTATGGACCAAAATTTTCAAATCCATTTAGGTGGGATGTGTGATAGAAATAAAAAGCTTGAAAGCTGCATTTTTTCTTAGGAATTCCCCAGAAAAAATGGATTCCTATCAATCAATAATATAAAAGAAAGACTAAAGTTTGATTGATGTCACCTGCTGGCTCATTGGCTAATAATATTAGCTCCCTTGTCCTTAAATCCCAAATAAATCTCAGAGAAACGACATCGTTGTAGTCGCTTTAAATCCTATCACTGCTTTTTCTCAGATAAGGGAGACGACAAAATGGAAGTGAAAGGGAAGGAGACAGCTCCGAGTCTGTGTCTGAGCAAATACGTGGATCCATCGAGTGAAGAGAGTCATAGATACTATCTTGCGCGGCAAAATGCCTTGCAGATGCTCCGAGACAGAGGCTACCAAGTCTCCGACGAAGATATCAATCTCTCCCTTCACGATTTTCGAGCTGTTTACGGCGAACGTCCCGATGTTGATCGTCTCCGCATCTCCGCTCAGCATCGCTCCGATTCTTCCAAAAAGGTATATCAAAGTATTTCCTACTGATTGTGATTTTTCGTTTTCTTAGCGGTTTTTGTCTTTGCATGTTGTGGCTGTGAAGAAGATGATGGAATATAAAATTTGGACTCTTCGAATTGAAGTTTGAATTGTCACTTTTGTGGATTCAGATGACTAAACTTTATTACTTTATTGTCCTAATCAAGTAATATGCCTCATTTGTTTGTACTCTGAAACTTTGTAATGTGAAATGTTTCTGGTAACAAGTGATTCTTAGATCTATGCATCTGGCTATTGAACATTTTTGACAATATATTGTGACGCAAAGTGAACTCTCCGATCTTTAGAGCATGGTTAATGTCAAATGTGCGAGTTCTGATGATAGCTACAAGTTCCCATGTTTGATTGTAGAATGAGATTGAACTGCAAAAGAACGGTTAAGTTGAATTTTTGTTGAATGTCTTACCCTTTTGTTGTGTTGGTTGGTTCGTTTCATGTTGCCACTGATTTGGTATGCTCATAGGCATGCTTGTCACTTGCTTTCACAACTAGTCCAATTTCATATATTGATTGTTACAAGTTCTCTGGAATGCCTTCTATTTTCAACTCAGGATGCTTCTAGCATCAGCTCTAGTCTTATGGTATAACGACAGATATCTCATAATGATCTTCTGGAATTAAAGGTTTAGTTCAAGAAATTTGGTGATTTTGCTCTTTCAGGTCAAGGTTGTCTTTTTTGGTACTGGTATGGTTAAAGTCAATGCAATCCGCAGTATAGCAGCGGATGTACTTAGCCAAGAAACCATAACCGGGCTGATTTTGGTTCTGCAAAGCCATGTAACCAAACAAGCCTTGAAAGCCATCGAACTCTTTTCTTTCAAGGTCGAGATATTCCAGGTTGGTATATATATATCTTCCTTATCTAATTTGTCTTGGTACAACTTCAAATCTGTAACATCTAGTTTCCTTCTTGCTGGTCTTGTTAAGATAACCGATCTGCTAGTCAACATAACCAAACATTCACTGAAGCCACAACATCAGGTTTTGAATGATGAAGAGAAGACAACACTTCTCAAGAAGTTCAGTATTGAGGAAAAACAGGTACATCATCCATTTCTCTGGAGCTTAATAAAAATTAGTCTCCTCACCTTTCCAACTGTTCATTCTAACATTTATTTAACAGCTTCCTCGGATTTCAAAGAAAGATGCGATCGTCCGGTACTACGGATTAGAGAAAGGGCAAGTTGTGAAGGTGAATTACAGAGGCGAACTCACGGAATCGCATGTTGCCTACCGATGTGTGTGGTGAAGAAACCAATAAAAACCCATCTTGTGTACTTATTTTCAGGAAAAAAAAAAAGAACTTGTATGTTTCTAAGGTTTTGTTTCTCATCCTAGAAGATCCTTTGCTTTGAACCCAAGAAAAAGTTAAAAAACAGAAACAAAAGATCCTTTGCTTGTTCTTAAAAACATTACCATTTTATGTCTTCCGTACAAAGAGCAGTCACTACACGCCATCAAAACACAAAAAAAGGCCATGGAGACTCCACCATTTCTTCAGAGGTTCGAGGACAATCAAAGCTCGTTGATGGATCGCTTTGAGCGGTTATCTTTCGAGGCTCACCTCAACAATGCCTTACTTGGTCGGAGTCTATCTGAGTCGGGCTTCTCTTTGATGTACAGTGCGGTGGTCAATGATTCCCCAATACATACAGCCGCTCCGGCGAGCCAAGCCAGACGACGATTAGGACTGAATAAGATACTGAAAAAGCTGATGAAACCAATTAGATATTGTAGCAAAAAAATCGGCAGAGAAAGAAAAGAAGAGGCGTGTGATTTTGATCCCAAGAGTTTTAACTTTAAGAATTGGCAAACTTTCAGCAAATCTGTCCGATTATTTTGAGTTATATTAACTCTTGTATTTTCTAGTTAAATGATACATTTCTATTTTAACTACCTCTGTCATGTTTCTTCTTTTTTCAATTAAACAAGATATCACCTTAAATATTGTTGACAAAAGAAATATGACCTAAATCTGATATTTGTTGCCTACGATATGGTACTTAACATCAAAATCTGAAATTCTTTTACAAATCACACCAATAGTAAAATGATCGAATTACATGGAATTTGCTAATTAAACATAAATGATCCAAATTGTTTGATTGAGTAAAACTCCATGTTTAAACTCAACTAGATCATCACCCGTACTAAAGTACGGGTTGAATTTTATTTATTACAAAATTTATATAATATATATGTTAGAACTAAGTTTAAATATATTATAATAGTAAGTGAAAAATATTAATTTTTTTGTCAGTCCCTATATACAATATTAGAATAAATATTGAATTTTTTCTATAATACTCAATTATGGATAATTTTTTTTTTTAAGATATGAAAACGGAAAATAATTTTATTTTTAAAAAGTAATATTTTTTAACAATGAGTTAATTTATGTTAACAACCACAAAAAAGGATTGCATATATTTCAGTTAGATCAAAAATTAAAATATCATAAATGAATCGCATATTAAACATAGATTATTTTGAATTATTTAAGAAAATTAGCTATTATTAATTTAGAAAATTCTTTTTCAATTTATAATTCTTTGGTTGTTGAAATAGAGATTTGTTTGAGCTAATCTAATTACAGAATTTGTTTGAGATTTATAATTACGGAATTTACCAATTATTCGCATAATCGAATATGTTATAGACATATATTTAGTATATAATAATACCAAAATCAACCCGTGCGTGGAGTCTATATTTTTATTTTAGAATCTCGATATTTCATTTTAAAATATTACGTGCACAATCTATTATTCGTTAATTCTAAAATTGCTTGCGGAATCAAATTTTCAAATACTATTTTTAAATATTCCAAATTAAAATCTTTAAATTTTTTTGTAGTTTATAAAATTATGAATTTCAAAAAACAAATTATATGAAATTAAATATAACTATTCAAATAGTTATAAGGATCAAAACCCATTTCATCATATAATATATTATATTTAACCCGTTACCTATTATAAATATTTTTTAAAATAATCAAATTAGAGTATTTATAATTTTCAACTTTTTGAACTATTAAGTATTGATGATATTCTCTAAAAATATCAAGTAAAACTTATTTTAAATGTTGCAAATTAAAATATTTAAATTTTTATTGTAGTTTATAAAATTATACATTTCAAACAAATAAATGTATGAAATCGAATATAAATATTCAAATTCTGACCCGTTGCTCAGTCGGAATTTTGGTTGACTTTATTTTTGTGTAAAAGAAATATATTACTCAAGTCTAAATTTTTGACCCGTTTATTTGTTTCCTTTATAGATTGAACAATCTATATGCGTTTAAAAAAAATCAAATCTTGGCACATGCAGAAAAAAATTACTTTTTTTTTTATTATGTAGATGATATGATGATTTATTTGTTTCATATTAATATAATCATATTAAGATGAGAGGTGAAGTTTAACGATTAATAACAAATTAATATGGTAAGTTAGATATCAAATCTTATATGTTCATTTCGATTGGTCATTTAAAAAAAATAAAATAACAGATTTTCGTTTTTTAATTTAATTAAATTAATTAAATGACATAAATTAGTATTTTACTTATTTATCCTTAATAAATTGAATGAAATTTGTTCTAAAAGAAGATTTTTGTAATGGCATTCTTAAGTAAATTTTTACAAAAGGAAAGGTTAGTTAAGGGCATCTTATAAAGTGTACTCCCCAAATAATAGTATAGGATCAGTTATTTTTCTTCTTATATAATTCTTATGAATCTTGTTAAATCCATTGGAAAAATTCAGTTATAGGGTTATTAATAACTAAACAGAAAATATAGGATAAATGTGGGTAAATCTTGACAATACAGGGATCTTGTTAATAAATTCAAGGGATAAATATTCGTCTGTTTCCCTGAGCTTGGGCAACAAGTCCAACTTCTCTCCTTAAGAATTAAGAAAGAGAGACCAGAAAAGAAGACCTCATTAATCAAAAGCTCAAAATCGCCTTCAATGGATGCTAAGATCGGACAATTCTTTGACTCCGTCGGTTCCTTCTTCAGCGGCAGCGATAAGATCCCATGGTGCGACGGAGATGTCATCGCTGTAAGTTTTTTTCTCTATATCCTTCATTTGTTTCGCTTTTTTCCGCCTATGTTTCCGAAGACGAGAAACCATCTCTTGTAAGCGAATGGAATCACGAACTGGTTGCAGAAATTTAGACCTGTTTTTGTGTTTTTGTTTGGAAATTTTTTGAAATCGGATTTGCTTTCTTTAGGATTTGTCCTTTATCAATTTTTTTTTTGATTCGAGCTTCAGAAGTTCATGAGATGTTGTTAAATTCGTCTTCAAATGAGCGTGATTACTGATTTTTGGACCTTACGTTGGATCCGAGTTTGATAACTGTAGAACTTTACCAAATGTCACAGCATCATGATTTTTTGTTTGATAGCTTTGTATCTTCTTCAGTCGTCTAGCTTCACTAGCTAAACTGTGTTGTTTTGATGTGCAGGGATGTGAAAGAGAGGTTCGAGAAGCCACAGATGCTGGCTCTGAAGATCTTAAGAAAGAGTGCTTGATGCGATTGTCGTGGGCTCTTGTTCATTCCCGTCAAACCGAAGATGTGCAACGCGGAATAGCCATGCTTGAAGGTAGTTAGAGTCCTTTCGTGTTTTGTGCAAACTATGGCCTGACATAGTTGTTTGGCTGCAAAATTTAGCAATGTTTTTGACACAAGAAGGCTGAAGCTCTTCCTTCTGCATCATTAAAACAAGAATATTGATAAATTTGTTTTTGTTGTTGTTTTTGCAGCATCTCTGGAAAGCAGTGCCCCTCCATTAGAGGACCGAGAGAAGCTTTATCTTCTTGCTGTTGGATATTACAGAAGTGGGGACTACTCAAAGAGCAGGCAGCTTGTGGACCGCTGTATCGAGGTATTATCCACTTCCTCACACTTTTCTTTATAGGCAGCTCGTGCTTCTATATATGTATGCATCTCTTTGATGGATGCTTTGGTTTCATAGATGCAAGCTGATTGGAGACAAGCTTTGGTACTAAAGAAGACCATCGAAGACAAAATCACAAAGGGTAAGCCACTTGTCAAACTTAAACACGTGAATTGATGGATGGTTCTAGGGATGGTAAATGTTTGTAACAACATCCAAGTTGACTCACAGAGTTACTAAATGTTATTTTGTATTCTCAGATGGTGTTATAGGGATAGGGATCACTGCTACAGCCTTTGGAGCCGTGGGTCTCATAGCCGGTGGTATCGTAGCGGCGATGTCTCGCAAGAAATGAAAACCACAACCATGACTTCTTCTCTGTGTATACAATGGCAGCTTACTCTTTTTTTTCAAGTTTTTTTACCCTCTTTGACTATGTTTTCCACTGCTTGCTTCACAATTTGAATAATTCTTCAGAGTTTTATAATATGTGTAAGCCTGAGTTGGATATTTCACCTTTCTTTAATTTGGGTTTTACCATTTCTACCTAGAAACATCATAATGCTAATTTCCTGGTTCAAAATGGAGAGCTAAAAATTTAACGTGTTTTTCAAATGGGCTTATTTACTTGTGGCTGCACATTACCGGTCTCCTCTGAACTATTCCAAATCACGACTAGAAAGTTCGTCTGATTCTTTATATAATGTGTATCTGGTACAGTGCTTCACAATTTGATTACCGTCTAGTGGTTGCAATCTTTTTAGTTGAATAACTCTTGTCATAAATTGCTTATTTTAGACATTACAAGATCTTGTTAAAGTTCTGTCTCCATATCAAGAAGCATTAAAAGACGACAACGAAAAGGCTAAACAGACTTCAGAAGCCAAAGACGAGACAAGAAAAGTGAAAAGCGAGTTTGAACCGAAAATGTCAGACGACTTGAACTCATCTCCTATACTCACCTGGGCGTCCAAGAGGCGATGAAATTCATCAACGTTTCGATCACCAAGATCAAGAAAATGCAGGAGAAGCAGCGGATGTCGATGCTTGTCTCGCTTCTCGAGGTCGAGAAAGCAGTGAGGGAAGTTCTTGATTTGCTTGGTTTGCTCTCTACACTGAGCTACACAGAGTTTTTGAAAGATATGAAACTAAAGGCATTTAGCAAAAGCAAAGATGGGAGAAGAGGAGATTTTGCAGAAGATTGAAGAAAGAAGAATTGCAAGGAAGAATAAAGACTTTGATAGAAGCGATGAGATTAGAAACACCTTGGCACTTGCAGGGATCTCCCTCATGGATATTCCTGGAAAAAACAGTGTGTGGAGGCCTTGCATACCTCAGTCTCAGAGTGACTCAGCCAAAGTCGACGCTACACAACAGTCAACGCCTCCTTGATTTCTCTCTATTGCTTTTGTTTCTCTTCTTTTTAAGTCTTTTACGATTTCACTGGGATATGTAATTCCTTGGCACTGAAACAATCAAAATTTGACAGTTTTTGGATTTTATTGGAATTTGCTATTCTTAATTACTTGCACAGAAGCAACTGTAATTGAGACAAGAATGGTATCTACAAAATAGTAACAAAAATTCAACAAAATTCTAACGAGTAACTACAAATTAACAAAGGTAGAAAACAAAACAATCTCGATCAACTATTTCGAGCTCTTGTCGCCACGAGAAAGAAACTCGGTAATCTTCTCCAAAGCCACCGTACGCCCAAACTGAGCAAAACCATCGCAAAGTCCGGTCTCTCTGTCTAAGTCAACGAGAGTTGACTTCAATCTCTTATGTTCCAACTCCACCTCTCCCATAGCTACAGTCACCGGAGACCTTTTCTTAATGGCAAACTCCGCCGTCACACGAATCGACCTCTCCACAGTATCCAATCGACTCACGAGTTTACTAATTTTCTCGACTTGTTTGAGAGCCACCGTCGTTGCTCTTTCCATAGAACTCATGGCCGTCTTCTCCCGTTTCAACGATTCTGTTGATTTTCTCCACCTTGACGCTACAAATGTAGTCAATCCCTCCATAGGAACTAATCCGGCAACGAGTTTGCTCAAGAAGATTACAGCAACTACTGGAGCTAGTAAGGCTGCGGTAACAATAAGTCAATAACTCTTCGTCCTCGAACACGTCTCAGCTTTTTGTCGATTTCTTTCATCGTCTTCTCCAGTTTAACGATCATCTTCGCCAGCTCTTCGTGACAGGTCTGAAACTTTCTGAGAAACTCGCAATAATCCAAGTCGTCGTCGTCGTCATTGTTATAAAAGGCATTGAAGTTCCTCAGATCTCGGAAGGTTTTTCTGAAACTAGCTTCTTCGAGTGACCCACCATAACCTAATTTCTCTAGCTCAAAATCAACTAGTGCTTCATCAATTAAGAGACACTCGTTGTTCTCGGATCTCTCTAAGCACGTTTTAAGAGACTCGCAGAGCTGGGAAACACCTTTGCTAGTGGTAAAGTAATGGTTGAGAAGACGGAACAACTCGGGATCTTCACGGAGATCAGTTTGTTGGAACTCGATAAAGAGTTTAGAGACGTCTTCATCCATATTCTCCATGCAGTCGCCAAGTTTCTTAAGATTATCTTCTGATCGTGATCGCAGCATCCCATTAGTGTGGCCGATGGACGACGAAGTGCTAGGTGACGATAGGAGAAACATTGTTGGAGAAATCATGGAGATCGGTTTACGCCTGAGAATGAGTCTCAAGAAAGGATTGCAAATTTTCATCTTCGTTTTTTGCAAAGCAAAAGAAAGATCAATACGAGTTTAGAGAACAGAGTAAACAAAAAATAATACGATTTTTAGAGAACAGAGTAAGAAACTTTCACAATAAGGATCAGTTGAATAAGAATGAATATAGAAATATTAGTCAGCAATCGTGTATATATATTAGTAAACAATTTCCATTTTTTTGTGAAGAAATATTTCCTTATTTTTTGCCAAGTTAACATTTCCTTTTTTTTTTGTTTTCTTTTCTACAGTTGTATAAACCTAGGGAAAAAAAGGGAATATATCTTTGAATTGATGCAACGGTCACCTATGAATAAAATTAAACAAATTAAGTAAAAGAAAGATTTTTTGTTGATTCTACAACAATTAAACCAATTGGTAGGATAGATCTCTATTGTTTGTTGCGATTTTTCTTATATGTTTTACAAAACGATTTTTTATTTCAAAATGTATATATTTATGCTAAAAAAATTGTATTTTAAAATTATTCAAGGTATAAATTGTTTTTGAACTAAACTTAAATTGCACAACATACCTAATTTTTTCACTAGTGTTTCAAGATTTTTATATATGACAAGAGTCTCCATCACTTCCTTGACCTTTTTCTTTAGGTAGCACCACCACCAAAACATCTCCACCAATATACCTTGTTTTGCTTGTTTGCTACCAAAAACTCTTAACGATATATACTCTATCGACTAAATATTCCCTTCAATTTTTTATTTCTTTTTATACTAAATTCTAACGAATTTTTCAGTATATCTAACAAACGTGACAATGAATCAAATGCTTTAAGTGTCTTTGCATTCCCTAAATTCTATCTCTGTTGGCTTTGTACTAAACTAATTAATTAGTTTGTGCCAGTTAGATCCCCAAAAACCAATGTCCGAGGTTGTCTGAAGATAAACCCAATTATCAGCATTAGTCATTAGATAACATGCCGTAGGTTAGACAAAAAAAAAGTCTTTGTCATGGAAATACAAGATTATTTGGGGTTGACTTTCATGTGACCGTATTCGTTGGATGATCATAAGGCATTCCTTATATTTTACCTTGAATATTATATTGATCAAGTTTACGTTTGTGTCTATTGTTGTTTGGCGGCTTGAGTTTGTTTTGTTTATCTTGGATTTGTATAAACGTTGTGGTCGGCTAAAAACCTGCATGTCGAATCTAGCCCATCAAAAACGGAACACTGAAATAATGTCAGAATTAACCAGATCCGATCATGTCCATATAGAAAGTAAATTAAGCTGTGCAAAATCACACTTCCACTATTTTTTTGGTCAAATTCACTTCCACTTTCTAGTATTTTTTTATCCAAACGAAGATAACACGAATGTGTGTTTACAATCTAAGGGTTTCATTTTAAATTACGACTTGGATTATGGATATAGTGAGACTTCGTCCTCATATTCCTATACGGCATAATCGCACATTTGGTTCTCATTGTCTCCATACTTATAATACTGTTTATTTTATAAGTATCATTATCTCATACAAATCATAGTTGTATATTTCTAAAATTATAAGTGTACAATAGATACTACGAAGAACATTCTCTATGGTGTCACATTGGCTGTAGTTGTAATTTTTAATGAGAAAGGAATAGTCAAAGAATCAATTAGAAATTATATAACAATCACCTAATCACGTGAATGGATAAGTTATAGATAAATTGGATCTAGTAACACTTTTTTGTGCTCAAGTTAAAAAAGTAACATCCGCAAATATCTATTTAGAGACAACGGTGAACGAATGGTTCAATTAAATGTGTCGAACGCCAAGGTTGAAGCACATTGTTGGTGTGAATCAACAAACGTTTAACTAATCCGGCTAATGAGCAGTAAATTAAATCGTCTAATTTCATTCTTTAATTCTTCTAATATTTATATGCTAGATATTTAATATCACCCATGGAAGATATTTATTCTTTAATTCTTCTTTACTTGTTACTATCAATAATAAGTAAAGAGTTAGAAAAAGGTAAAATCTAAAGCGATGTCATCCTTCACGTCACTTATTTAGAAAACATTTTTGCAACATTTTCTAGTTTCTATTTTGATGTTCACATTATGTTCTCGTCGGCGCCGCTTTCTCCTCCATTTATCCGATCGGTTAAATAGATTTGTCTCCTAATTCTTTTTGTTCTCCTAGCAACTTGTTCGTATCATGTTTGTTCAGTATTTGGTTTATTTTCCGATACATATTTTTTCTATGCGCTCTAGTCCACCAAAAAAAACAGTCTATAAGATTTATAGACAAATTTGTACTAACTAATCTACATCACTTAAATCATTTTATTTATCTCACCCGTTCCAAGGCCAATCGGGACTAGTACTATATTAAAATTGTGAATATTTTAAAGTCAGAGTTTCTTAATTAATCTAAATATAATCAAATGGAAGTCGCCGTCTTTTCTCATAGATTAGTCAATTTTTCCAAATTCGAAATTTTTTAAATCCAAATTAATCTTTTGATTACGAGAAAGCAAAAAGACCTCTATATAAATATCTGACAAAAACCAAACATAAAGAGAAACAAAAGAAGAGAAGACTTTCAATCATCCGCTATAATGCGCCAGTATCCGCGTTCTCTATAACACGCCAATATCCGTGCCCTCTATAATGCGCTGGTCTCCGTGTCCGCCTCTCTCCGCCGTCTAATGTCTGATCTTCTAGGTCTCCTCCACAAATTCGAACAAGAATTTGTCTTAATGTGCAAAACCAAAATGGGAGTCAATGCTTCAGAGCCAAAACGAACACGATCGCGACCTAGTCAATCGGAGGGGAGGCACCCGTCGACGAGACGATCTCCATCAACGAGCACCACCGGCACAACAACAACCACGACGACATCGAATTCTAACAAAACTGGTCCCTCCTCCTCCTCCTCAGGTGCTTCTTCTTCAGTCGCTAGTCGAACATCTCTCGCTAGTCTTCGAGAATCCTTACCGGAGAATCCTCACATATACAACGTCTCCGAGATTCGTGCCGCCACCAACAATTTCCTCGCTAATCGCTTATCTTCATCTTCCTCTAAAGCCTCGTGGCGTTGCAATTTGAGAGGGAAAGAAGTCGTTGTGTTTCAGAGAAAGTTTAGACGGAGAATCGCCATGGATGAGCTTAGAGATCGTCTTTCAGATATTTGCCGGAGCAACCACGGAAGCATCATAAATCTACTCGGCGCTTCTGTTTCCGGCGGTGGAAGAGGAGGAGGAGGAGGAGGCGATCACATCTACCTAGTCTACGAATACGTCAACGGAGCATCTCTCGCTGATTGCTTGAGAAACCCTAAGAACCCTAATTTCACAGTTTTATCGAATTGGACATCACGGATTCAAATTGCAACAGATCTAGCTCATGGACTCGATTACATCCACAACAAGACTGGATTAAAGATCGAAAATCTCGTTCACAATCACATCAAGAGCTCGGCGGTGATCGTGACGGAGCCTGATTTCAACGCTAAGATCTGTCACTTCGGAACTGCACAGCTTTGCGGTGAAACAGATGAAATGTCACCGGAGAGAGACGAATCGAAAAATTCCAGGCGATCTGATAGCAGAGCGATCAGATTCGAAGGAGTTAGAGGTTACATGTCGCCGGAATTTCAAACATCGGGAATCGCTACTCAGAAATCAGACGTTTACGCTTTCGGAGTTATGATGCTGGAGCTTCTCTCAGGCGAGGAGCCGTTGAAGTATAGGTATGAAAAAGCCACCGGAGATTTCGAGCGGACGTCGGTGATTGAAACAGCGGGAGCGGCGATCGAAGACGGAGATGGTGATAGAGAGGTGAGATTGAGGAGGTGGATGGATCGGAGATTGGGGGATTCGTTTCCTGTGACGGTGGTGGAAAAATTAACGCGATTGGCGTTGGATTGCGTTCAGGATGATCCGGTGAATAGGCCGGAGATGGGAAGAGTCGCCGGGAAAATATCTCAAATGTATTTGGAATCGGAAAAGTGGTCGGCGAATATGAAACGGCCAACGGATATCACCGTCTCCTTCGCTCCCAGATGAGGGAATCTTCTTTTTCCTATTTTTAATTTTTAATTTATTTCAGTTTTTGTAAATTCGTTAGTAGGCTAATTTTTTCCCCAAATTAATTTAATGATGATTTGGTTGTAATTACGACATCTCTTCGTTTGAAGATTGTTGCAGAGTAATTAGAATAATAGTTTATTGTGTTCGTGGGGTATGAAGATTGTGATATAAGCTGTGAGCAACTAAGAAATTGATTGGAATTAAATTCATATCAGTAGTTTTCAAACGTCAAAACGATGAAGAAAAGTGTATGAAGGTTGGTAATGGAATCTGCTTTTAGAGTCGTGTGGATGAGCTTTGTAAGAGCATCTCCAATGGAGAGAGTCCCTCCATGGGCTCTCTCCATTTTTTATGATTAAATTTTGTGAAAATATGAGATGAGAACTTTTGTTTTTTTTTTAAATTTTTCATAGTCCAATGGTAGGTTCTCAAGTGGGGTTCTCCTAAAAAATAAAATTATTAAATATTTTATTTTATAAAATTTAATAATTATTGCAAGTCATAAAAATATTAAACATACATTATTTTAAAACATTAAAAAAAAATGTGCAAAAACAAAACCGGAATAACGATTAGTTGTACTGTTGATTGTTGCGAAATTTTTGCCATATATGTTCAACCAAATCAGCTTTCAATTGTTGATGCATATCTCGATGACGAACTCGATTTCGAATGCCAATATATTCCGGAGATTTGTAGGCATACTTCGATAAGTTTAATATCTTTGGTTAAACAAATGTGTATAAGTTTCAGAAATTTTAAATACAATGTTCATGATCAAGAACAGAAACTGATCTTATAGAACATTGCTACTTAATACGTACATTTACAGATTGTATATGTCCGTATTATACCAAAAACCTCATGTATCTTTATATCAAACTGCTTCAAATCTAAATACAAAAACAAAAAGAACATCACTAGAGACGATTTATAAAAAGAACATTTATAAATTGTATATGTCCGTATTATACAAAAAAGGAGATCATCGATCATAGTCATCATCTCCTTTAAACAAAAGCTTCTCATCTTCTGTAGATCATAAGGAAGAGTCTAGAGCAGGAGCATCCTTTCATGATTCCGAGCAGGAACATCCTTTACACGAAGAAGAGAACATGTCCCATGGAACATCACCATCTACTACATTACACATTAACTTCTTCCTTATCTGTTCATAACAAAACAAAAGACTTCCTAATTATACCAAACCTTGTAATGATTATGCTTAAATTGAATGATTAGTGTTTTGTTACCTTCTCGAGCTTTTCGTATGTGGTGGCTCTGCGAGGTGTTAAGTCTTTGATCGAATCGCCGCAAGCAGAAATCAGCCACGGTGGCCATCCTTCCGGCATACGGAGGCTCATCCCCGGCCGGCGAGAAGAGCCCGCGGAGAAATCGCCAGTGTGCCATGTTCTAGCCGGCTGAATCTGAATCGAATCTAAACCCTTCTTCTCCTCTCCGATTTCGACTACCTCCGGTACAGAAACAACGGCGGTGGTGGTTGAACGTTTGTCCACGAGATCGGCGTCGACTCATCGAAAACTCACGAAATCGTTTGTTCATCACTTCCTTTGATCGCAATCGCGAGATTGTGTTGAGAGAGAAAAAAACTAAAAGGAATGAGAGTTTTTTTTTTTCTTTTGTTAAAATACTTCTTCCAATCAACCACTGACACGTGTCCGCCTCTCACAAACTCTCAAAACTCTCTTAAGAGAGTCGTTTCTCTCTTGTTTAATCAATTTTGAATTATTTTTGATCAAATTAAAGATGAGAACTCATCAAAAAATTGGAGAGAACCTCCCTTTGGAGATGCTCTAAGTCTACACTTATGAGGGACCGATCTCACGTTAATGCTTTTTTTGTTAACGAAGACGTGAGGTTGAGAATTAGATAAAACTTTGACTAATAAGAATGTTATATCATTTGGACTAAATATAAGTTTCAGAATCAAGTTTTTGTAGTTATCTTCGGATATGTAGATATGGTGTGTGTTTTGTGTTGTGGATTGATTCGCTTTCTATATTCTTCAGAATCATGTCTAAGCTTTGATTTTGAAACATTTTGAGGTTGCTTTCGCGACATAGACCAACTAAGAAGTAAAAAGAATTGACTTAGTCAACACAAATGTGGGCTATTGAATATGTCTTGACACTGGGTTTATATATTCGTGGTCCAATGACGTACATGGGCTTCTTCTAGAAACATGCTTGGAACAAGGTTTTCGTTATAACGATATCAAAAAGAAGTCTAAACAAAATGTTATGCTGCTTGGCCGAATTGTTGTCAGCCGCCGTTGGTTCAACGGAAAGAACCAAAAAAAAAAAAAAAAAGTGGACGAAAATATTTTGGTTGGAGATTTTGCATGATGCATTATACTACAAACAAATCTATGATTTACAAGCAAACTTTCCAAGACCAAGTAAGTATTCATGCGTACCACAAAAGGATCTAAGAGAACATATGTCATACTATCGAATTAGTTCAATAACAGCATATAATGTAATAGAGCATCAAAGGATGAATTTTGTTAGATTAACGGTCTGATAGTTACTGGCAATGCAAATAAGCAGATTATAAATTTATTCGGGTAGAAGAAAAAAAGAAGACAAAATCATGAATAAAAAAAGGAGAAGGAGAGAAAGGAAAAGAATGAGAGGTCAAGTCAACAGAAGTCCACATCACACATCACTTCACACGCAAAAGCATACAACTGTCTTGTCTTGTCAAATCATTTTTTTTTGCATCTCGACAATATCTTACTCCCATACATATATATATGTATAAGTGCATATATATGTGCTCATTTTATCAGTGTTAACTTTCCGTAGAGTTTATTTGGCACTACGTTTCTCTGATCTAAACTAAGCAATTAATATTCTAAATCAGTTTTAGTAAATAACTCTTTGAAGTTGTATGTACTTACGAAAATAAACGTGGTTAGACAAGAAGTCGAATTCGCTTGGTACGTAGGAATTAATTCGCTCGATAGTGATGGGGCAGCATTTTTGAGGAGAGTGTCAAGAGATGGATATCTAAAAATATATAAGGATACATGTAATGAAATGTATATTCTATAACTATAATGTGATTCTTAAAATATAATGTGAATTTCTATAACTAAATTGTATATTTTCAACAGAGTATTCGCCTTTACACATATCCTGTGTCAGCTCAACTTCGTGGAAAAGTATTCGCGTTTACCTAGTTAAGAGTTTGATAGGAAGCAAAAAAATTGTTTTGGAGATTGGAAAGTACGATTTTTCTGGATAATTGATAAATCTAGCTTGGTTAATCGGTGATAAAATAATACGGCTACGTCCGTCGTCCGTTATGTAAAATCTTAAGAACACCGTTTCAGATAGAATTAAATGATAGATACTCCTTCATAAATGAGGTATGACTTTGAACAGCGATCTATGGAATTTCAAATAATAGACAAATAGACTTGTAGTAAAAAGACAAGTACACAATTATATATTGAGAGACAATATATATGCATGTTCACATTTTTTGTTTTTGCATGCAATTGATTAGAAAGTTGAGAAGCTTTGATCGAGAAAGTAGGTGGACATAGTTTGCAGATAGGGTAATAACAGCCTTTGGAAACAAGAACATTATTATACATGACCACACTAAAAGATTTTGTTCCATGTTTTTTAACTTTTAAGTTTTAACTGTTGAAGTAGTAAATCTTCTTCTTTCTCCAAACAAAGAGCAGTTAAGATTTACTGTTTCACCGCCTGTCTTCTCTATTATTCTTTCCTTGTTCAAATTACAATTTATTTTCTTTATCATATACTCCCTCTGTTTTTTAAAAGTTGTCGTTTTAACTGTATTTAGACAAATTAAGAAAAGGTATACAATGACTATATTAACCTCATAAAATGACAAGTAATTATTTACAAATAATTTGTGTTTAATTAAATGAGGGTAATTTGGGTAGTTATTGGCATAAGTTACATTAATACCTTAAAACGACCACTAATTTAAAACAAAAAAAATGCTCTAAAACGACAACTATTCGAAAACGGAGGGAGTACAATCCTTAACAACCACTTCTTATGTCTTATGCCACAACACTTAGCGGCAGAACTGGAAACTCCAGCTTTTCTTGTCTCTTTCTTTCCACACACACATATTATTGATGATATATAATACATATTTGAGCATTCTACAAATATTTACCTTTAGTTTTGGAAAATAAGAAATTTTTTTTATTAATGTTTGTTTTTTTCATTTATGGTCATTTGACCACACTCTATAATTACTAAGCACGAGTAGTTTCTTTGTATCTCTAGTCTCTGTCAGTCGATATGCCTCTGCTTCTCTGTGTTAACAAAGATTTTCCCCTCTCGGTGATTCAGGTTCAAGGAAGTAGAGTTACGTTTGTATAATGTATTTAAATGCTTTCTTTTTAGCTTCCGATTTAATTTTATATATTACTAATATTGCAAATTATTAATTGGATGACCCATACATGGCCCAAATCGTTGACTAAATGAACGGAAAACTAGTCTCCATTTGACCCCTATTATAGCATTATGGCAGATGACAAATTTCTTTCAAAACAAAAAAAACCTTATAACTTTTTTCCTTTAACTAAAATTAAAGTAAGAACATTTCTGACTTATTGAACCATTATTTCTTGAATCCATATATAATCCGTCGGTTTAATTAGTAGAGGATGTTACGTATTCAATCTATATCTTACTTGTAGATTTGTATTGATCTAATCTAGGTGGATCTCTTGTGTGTAGATATAGAGGCGTAAACCATACTGATGACTATATGTCAAAAATAATGAAAAGGCAAATAGTGAAAGGAATTACTACTAATTTATTGAAATAAAATGAAAATATGATACATAACAACAACATGTAGTTATGAATTGATATATAGTTCATACCTACATTTTGAAAGAGATAATACATTCAACGGAGGACATGTTCATATTCTTTATTAGTTCACACCCATTCGTTAGTTATTAACTGTTCAAGAACAGTATACCAATCCAGTGCAGTGTTAATTAAACTAGTTAAGTGGATAATTTCACTTGTCTTCTTCATAATGTATATTTAGTTTTAGTGATTAGGTGCTATAGACATTTAATAATCTTGTAATATGTAATATAAAATTAAAAGTTTTCAGGAAATTTACAGTAAATTTTAGCTGGTCACAACAAAATTCAAATAAATGAAAACAAATAGATTTATGAATGATAAAAATACGGCGATTTATAAAATGAGTTGCTAATTTTTTTTTCATATAGCAAAACTAAATTATTCATAAGTGGTTTATATTAATTCTCTACACATATATATAGTAGTAATTCAATGACCATTTCGTTTGTCAAAGATTGAGAATTGCTGTCTATTGGTTTGATGGACATGTCCTCTTTCACTTGCTAACTACATATTCACATGAATGTTGTAAATAGTAAAAATTAGTGTAAGTTTTGATAGGAGATTTTTGGTTAAAAAGGAATAGCAATAAAAAAAATGTCATACATGAGAATAATCATGTCGGTAAGACGTGTAATTTGAAATCCGACAATGAGTGATTAATTAGAATGTTCCATTGATTCCTTGATTTATTAACTAAGATCTATCATTAATTTTATTAATTAATATCGGTAATTACTTCGAGATGATTCTCTATTGACAAAAGTGAATGACCAAAAAAATCCAGTAAAGATATCACAAAGCAAAACCCTAGGATCCGGTCATCCAAGGGATCCACTGAAAGTAAATCTTTATAATAAAAGGAAATTAAAATATATTATAATATGTGAGAGTGTGACATATGTATGTATAGATCATATTTGTAATATTTTAATTTTATGCACGGAAATTTATTTTCATGGTCGAAGAAAACAACAAAAAAGGAAATTATTTTTATTTTTTCAAAGAGAGGGAGAGAGAGTGAAAAGACAAGACAAACGTCAAATCGGATCTCTATCTTATCATACGACTGCCAGTGCCTTCTTGTGTTGTCATCTTTTTTTCACTAATATTTTCCACTTTTTCTATACCATAACACAAATTAAAACCAATATGTATATATATTTTTTTGTTAAGAATAGTTGGATTTGGAAAAATGGAATAGTGTCTTTTTATTCCTTTTTTCCTGTCAAAGCAAAATATGGAAAATCAAAAGGAAATGCATATCATCCCGCACGTGTGTTCCTGACTGACCTCATAGTGTACCATTTGAAGAATATTTCATTCGAGAAGGACACTAGATTAACGGTCCATCGGATGGGAAAACCATCGTAACAACATAATTAAGTTTTCTTTTTCTTGATAATATATATATATATATATATATGTTTGAAATGATCTGTTTATAAATTTCCAACATATATTTGATACGATTAGTAATTATATAATTATTCTGCCTTCATCAAGGAAACATGCTTAAGAATTTTAATCTTTTTAAACTTTGTTAGAACTTTATAAAAAAACAACTAAGAAATATTGTAGCGGTCCGACAGAAGGACCCGATCAACCCGGCAGACACGCATCCCCATGCCCTTCGACTCTCCTCCACCAATTTCTTAAGAAATTTCATTATTTATTTATTACTTATGTTTTTCTTATCCCATCTGTATTAGGAGTATACATTTCTGCCTATTAATTTGCAAACAAAATGTGAACCAAAAGAAATAAATAAATACAAATTTGCAAACAAACTATAATTGCAAACAAATTTGTTAACTTTAATAAATGTAGTTTAGATAATAAAAAATTTCACGTCCCCTGTAACGTAATCACATATCATCATGGACATGAAGTTTTTTTTGTTTGCTTAGAGAACACTTGTAATCTAATGCATCACATGATAATTTTTTTTTGTGATAATTTATTTTAGTCAACGTACTTCCAATTCAGAACCTCATAACCATTTACGTTATTTTCAACCCTAATTTATGATCGTGTAGAAAATAATTAAAGAGATTGTAATATATGTAGCATAAAAAGTTAGGAAACAAGAGAAGAGACGGTCAGAAACGGACCAACGGTCAAACACCAAACCATCAAATCACATTCACTTAAGTTAGTACAGTGGAGACTTTCAGTGGTTTTGCCTTAACGAATTAGGCCAATGTTCTTATCCATCACCGTCCTGTCCAGTTTACCATTTTATCCCATCTTTACATAAATTACATTTTAGCAATTTAACACGCATGCATATGGGTTCGAATAGTGATCATGGTTGGTTTGTACTTTTCTGCGATAAATATGGTGAATGCTTTTTTAAAATAAAGTTTCATAGACGTGTCGTGCTGTGACGATGGCACACATAGAAATGCGACACAGACAAAAACATATACATGTAAATACGATCGATCCAAATTCCCAATTATAAGTTTTCATGTTAAAAAGTTGGTCGAAATCAATTTTGCTAAATTCCTCTACCCTTATAGTGCACCGTTTAAAATCGTTTGACTGCATCACCATGTGTATATTAAATGCACCAACCGCTTATATTCTTATGATATCTCTCTAAATCAATTTGTTTGCATCGAAAGCCCTCATTTTATTAGCATTAGGTGACGCACGAACCCATGTATAGATGTTTTTATGTATAATATTATCTCGTTGATTAAGTTTCACATATGTCGTGAACCAAGCCAAAAGACAGTTGCCAAAGGCTCTTTTTCTTGATTTTATTTTCCTTGCAAAAAAAAAAAAAAAAAATTTAAAAAAAAAAAAAAAAAAAAAAAAAAAAATTAAGTACGTGATTATGTATACGACTAAGTGTTACGTGACACACGGGGTTGATTTGGGTCCTTAGCTAGTCGGCAGCTAATGATATTTACATATCTCATGATTATTAAATACTTAATTAATTAATTCTAATTTTTATATTCACAAAACTAATCATTTCTTCCTTTTCCATATTCGATTTCCCCCAAATGGATACGGCCCATACTTCTATGCTTAACATACCCTTTTCTCACTTTGTCATTTCTCTCTAAACTCTAATTGCTGATTTCCTTCTGATGACAAAAAAAAATCAAATACTACAAAACTCCAAATGCTACTAGCCAATAAATAAAAGCACAAACGTCGACATTAATCATTTTATTATAAATTTAATTCGAGACCCCCCGGTCCGCCCATTCAGATCTCTGTCTCTTTCTCTCTCTATATCTATCTACCCACAAACCAATCTTCTACACTATAGTCTCTCTCTCTCTTCTTCATCTTCTCCATAAGCTTCTAAAGATAAAAGCTTGTGACCCTTCTTCACTTATAAATTTTTGCTTAAGAAAGAAAACTCTTTTCTTCATCTTCTACAGCATAATAAAATCAAAGGATACGACTTTTTTTTTACATTGTTTCTTTTAAAACCCTAATTTGTTTTCCAAGAAGAACCAAAGAAATAAAGGAGCCATGAGCACTACTTTCGAAGAATCTCTCAAATCTATGTCGTTGGATTACCTAAACCTCTTAATCAACGGTCAAGCTTTCTCTGATGTCACTTTCAGCGTCGAAGGCCGTTTAGTCCACGCTCACCGTTGCATCCTCGCCGCTCGTAGTCTCTTCTTCCGCAAGTTCTTCTGCGAATCTGATCCTTCTCAAACCGGAGCTGAACAGGCTAACCAAACCGGATCAGGAGCCAGAGCAGCCGCAGTGGGAGGAGTGATACCGGTTAACTCGGTCGGTTACGAAGTTTTCTTACTTCTACTTCAGTTCTTATACAGTGGTCAAGTCTCAATTGTACCACATAAGCACGAGCCAAGATCGAATTGTGGAGATAGAGGATGTTGGCACACGCATTGCACTGCAGCCGTCGATCTCTCTTTAGATATCTTAGCCGCCGCTCGTTATTTTGGCGTCGAGCAGCTCGCGTTGCTTACTCAGGTTCTATTTCTCATTACTATATCAAGTCTCTTTAGGTTACCAATTCTTGTTCTTTAATCTTGGTAAACTACTGTACCGATTTGTTTTGGTTCGGTTGAGATTAATTTTGAAACCCTATTGATGATAAACATAAGAAAATATATAGATAAGAGTTGTTCTTGACTTGATTTCATGTGTAACTGAGCTTAAAGATTGCTTGCATTGCACGTACTGCAACTTTCTTTCCAGATTTAGACGGCAGTGACTGATGTGTTGCACACCGAGAACTTTCCTTGAAATGGAAACTTTTTGATGGTTTTCTTTTTTTTCAATATAAAAACTCTTTATTTAATAGAAAATATCTTTGAAAATAGTAACTTTGAATAATAACAGTGATTTTATTAGTATCCCCCAAAATTGAGAAATGTCTTATGACTCTTTTCATTCTGCGATTTTGCATGAGTTTAGTAATCAGATATTTGTGAGATCGCCATTTACGTTCAGCATTCCTGCCATTCCTCAAATGCAATGACCAAATTTGGAGAAATTTATCATTGCCATAGGCTTTTAACTAGAATTTTGTCGCTTAATTTTTTTTGCCATTCCATTTTGTATTCTTTTTCATAATCTTGGGCTTTCACACAAGGATATATATCAAGCATAAACAAAAGTGTTTCTCTTCTGTTATAATCTTATCTTACTTTCCTTATTTGGGTTTATATAAATGAAAACCCTTGGTGAAACGACTCCTTTATAATGAACATGCATGGCATTCATCCAATGAAATGGAAGTGGTGGATATATAGTGTCTTTAAATTCAATATTCTTTTGTCTTTAAAGCCAATTGTGTTTTTTTTTCCCCTCACAGAAACATTTGACAAGTATGGTGGAGAAAGCCTCCGTTGAAGATGTGATGAAAGTGCTAATAGCTTCAAGAAAGCAAGACATGCATCAATTATGGACCACTTGCTCTTACCTAATCGCCAAATCCGGTCTTCCACAAGAGATTCTAGCCAAACATCTCCCAATCGAACTTGTAGCCAAGGTTGAGGAGCTCCGTCTCAAATCTTCAATGCCTCTTCGTTCCCTAATGCCTCACCACCATGACCTAACCTCGTCTTTAGACCTCGAGGACCAGAAGATCAGGAGGATGAGACGTGCATTGGACTCCTCCGATGTCGAGCTTGTGAAGCTAATGGTGATGGGAGAAGGACTCAATCTAGATGAGTCCCTAGCTTTGATTTACGCCGTTGAGAATTGTAGTAGAGAGGTTGTGAAGGCACTTCTTGAGCTTGGAGCAGCCGATGTGAACTATCCCGCCGGTCCCACAGGGAAAACCGCTCTTCACATCGCGGCTGAAATGGTCTCTCCGGACATGGTGGCTGTCTTACTTGACCACCACGCTGACCCAAACGTCCAGACAGTGGATGGAATCACTCCTCTCGACATCCTTAGAACCCTAACGTCGGATTTTTTGTTCAAGGGGGCGATTCCTGGATTGACTCATATTGAGCCCAATAAGCTCAGGCTTTGTCTCGAGCTGGTCCAGTCCGCGGCATTGGTTATATCACGCGAAGAAGGAAACAATACCAGTAACGACAACAACACAATGATCTACCCTAGAATGAAAGACGAACACACGAGCGGAAGTAGTTTGGATTCAAGATTGGTTTATCTGAATCTTGGTGCTACAAATCGTGATCTTAGTGATGACAATACCAATCAAAGGGAAGGAATGAATCTGCATCATCATCATCATCATGACCCATCAACGATGTATCATCATCACCACCACCACCATTTCTAGGTCTTTGTAGTCCATATCATCCTTTTTTGATAACCATCATCCTTTAATTAAGATAAACATATTCAATATCTAATTAATTTGTTGTTATGGTCTTCTTTCTCTGTGTATATGGGCATGCGAAAAAAATTTAAACGTTAATTCCATGGAAAGTGGAAGGAGAACACAAACAAAAGGATCATATAGATTTTTTTTTTGACACCAAAAAAGGGGTCCTATAGATGGATAATTAAAGATCTTGAGTTATATGTTGACATGTCATGTATAAGCTTACTTATTAATATAGGTTTTCTATTAGCGGTAAGGCCTTGCTGCATTCATTCATTTTTCTTATAATCAAACAATGCATTTCAGTGATCTTGACCATAACATTTCCTTGTCTTTTGGGTGCGAGTGAACGATCAAAAACAACAAAAATAGTTATGGATATATACATATTATAATGGTTAACAAAAAGAAAAACCCAAAAGAAAAAAGGGAAAACGAAAAGAAAAAGCCAATATCTATGGAAGTGTCAATGTCATCACCACTACAATATTGACATTAGTGTATTCGAAGACAAACGACATATGATCAGAGCTTGTAACTTTGTAGCCATTATACGAAAATATATATTTCTCTTTACTTTTTTTAAAAAAAAATTGGTTGAAAATATAAAATTCCGCAATAATGAAATATCAATTCTTCTGCTGCCAAAAAAAATATATTTAGGTGAAATTTGAATCTTGAAAAGTTTCATGGCTAAATTGAGATTCTCTCAAATATAGAGGACTACTCTACAAAATTTTGAAGCACTGTATAGATTTTGCAACCTAGTCCTTTAGAAGAGAGGAAATTCTCTTTGACTTGGTCAGTCTAACCGTCTCTACAGTTACTCATGGATTAGATTCGCCTGAGGGTCTCCGTCTTCCGACGCCGAGCTATCTCCGTCAATAATGTCTTTTTCCGGCGAATCGAGTTGCACGCTTTCCGGAGTTTCACTTTCGGTTGGGATATCTTCCAGATCTTGATTCATCCTCAAATTCTCTCCTCTTACGAGATTCAACACGAATCCGTTGTGTGTTCTTCCCGTCTGAAGATAATCGCCTTCCGTGACAGTGATGCTATGAGAAGACGAAGAAGCCGCCACAATCGAATCGTTCTCCGAAGCTCTAATCTGTTCGGGATCAACGGCGTCGAGATTCTGGACGTAGTCTGTGAACATCTGAGCAGAATTGGTCCTCATCAATGGTCCACCAGATCGAGTCCAATCTTCAGCTTCTGGAGAATCACATTCGCTTCCTGCGTCATAGGAATGGCTTAAGTTGCTGGTTCGATTACTATTCCTCCCGGATCCAACTACGATATGCTGGTATAACCGTGAAGCTTCAGCTAGCACATCATCATCGACGGATCCGGATGAGTTCTGACGAGCTATACAGTTCCAGGAAGGGATTCTTTTGGAGGCGTTGAATCTATTGGTTCCGGCCAAAAGATGTTTAGATGGTGGTGAGGATGAGATGGCGGAGAAAGCTGCGGCTCTTTCAGCGCTGCGTTTTAGGCGGCGCATGTGGTTAAGAACGGCGACGCATTCGTCGAGTGCTAGTTCGATCCCGAAGTTTGCTTTGATTACTGCGAGTTTCTCCCAGGTGCATCTCCTTCCTTGATTTGCTGCCTTTTGAATCTCTACATTGCTTGGGTTCTGTATGATCTTCAAGTACTGTATCCAGAAACTCGATACATTAATAATTGGATAAAGAGTGAGGAAATTTGCTTGTTGGAATCATTGTTTTGTTTACCTGAGAAAAAGTAGCTGGCATGACGATAGTGACATCGCCTTCCCATTCTTGAGCAAATAGTGAAGCTACTTCTCTCAGAGGAAGCCCGAGTTCTAGTATTTGATTACATCTATGCTTCACTTCCATCTCCGCGAGTTGCGCGAGCTTTGGAAAGATTAAGAGATCGAATTAGGCAATGGATCATAAGTATTGAGGACCAACTAGATATATATGAATTATACCTTTGCCGCAAATCGACCTCCGCAAGCTCTTACAAACTCCTTCATCCTCAAGAAAGGTGCTATGTGAGGGTTGGCTTGGCTGACAATGAAATGGTTGACATTGAAAAGCTCTTTGAGTTGTATCATCGGTAAGTCCATCTCCAAACTACCGTCCCTCCAGCGCCGAACTGATGCTGAGCCCTCTTCAGGATCTAAGTTAAAAGGTGGATGATAAGGAACAATCTCTCCAGTTCTATCTTTGGCCATGAGTTCTTGAGCCTCGAAAAGGCCTGGGAAAGCACAAGATGCAGTCACTGCACTCCATATCACAACATGAGGCGAAGTAAGGTAATTGAGACATCTAGGCGGCTCGTGTTTTCTCAGGGAACAAACTGTTATCCCTAGAATCCGTCCTGTTATGTCGAAAGCTTCTTGGAATGTGAGATTGTTGGTGAGATTCCTCAACTTCCATTGCAAATGCCGGATCTCATGGACTGCCCCTTGAGTCATAACCCGTTTCACAGTAGTGAAAATCCCTCCCATCTGATCAAAGAACTGCAAAGCATGCCAAGAGCCTTCAAAGAAGCTCTGTAACTCAGGCCATGACCTTGTCCCCACAACCGCACACATTACAGACCCCACACTTGAACCAGCTATAATTCTTGGCAAGAGCTTATGTTCCACAAGCGTCTTGACCACACCAAGGTGGAAAGCCCCTAGAGAAGCTCCTCCACTCAGAAGCAGAGCCGTTCTTCCATATGCGTGTCTCGTCTCATGCATAAAAGAGAGTTTCTCCTCCAGAGAAAGCTCTTCAGTGTCCATGTCGCAAACCATCCTAAGCTGTGTCGAGACCTCATCGATATACTCTTTGATGAGTCTCGGTACGTGAAGCCTTCCCTTGTGAAGCTCAGGGTTACACATATTACCTAAATTTCTCACAAGATCAGCTCTCATACAGAAGATAATGTCTCTCAGAGAGCCCTCATGACGTCTATGCTTAAGCTCCTCAAGCTTATTACTCACGAGCTCCACATCAAAAAGATCTGTCTCGTTCACCTTCGGAGTCTCTTTATCGAGCATCTTTGCGGCGTGAGACCATTCCTCGTATGTCAATGCAGCTCTCATCATGTTCCTCCAGAATTTCCTTCTGTAAGCCATCTCAGCCTTTGCTTTTAAGCTTGTGTAGCGATTCAACAGAAAAGCCATCGTCGTCACCATTACTAATATCCCTTGTGGATTCCTGGGATGTAGTAAGGACACAAACGGTGACAGTAAAACCCTACCTCCTCTGAGGAAAAACATGAGAAATCTGAAGACTTTGTGTCTGAATATAGACACGGAGTTGCAGAACAAGATCCGGAAGGCAATTGTTCTTCCGATTATAGTCGTGGGTCCTATAATTGAGAACGCATCAACGCCTGCTTCGTTGCTTATATCCATTGTCTCCGACTCAAAGATGAGAACCTAATCACTGGTTTTTACGATAGGCACAAAGAAACGGACCCAGATGTGTAAGACCAGAATCAGATGAATCAAAAGATTGATTTTTTCAAACCCATTAGAGAAGAGAGCGAGAGATCGTTAATCCACGGAGGAATGAAATTGAGAAAGATGAGACAGCAAGTGATGGGAGGCATAGGATCTGCAAGATAACATAGAAAAAAAAGATTCCGATGTATAATGGAGGACTTCAGGATTTCGTTACAGCGAAGAACAGAGGAAATTAATTTAAATAAAACCTGAGATTCATTTTTGCTATGAGACAAAAATGGCGATCTAAGACCCACGCTAATCTTTGGACTTTCTAATTTTGGGAACATAAACTCGCGAACACGACAAATTGAAAAAGAATAATGATTTGTCTTTTTGCACAAATAGTCTCTGTTTTTGAAACTCGCGTGTCGCGACGAACATAAAACCGTTGAATTCAAACATCTTTGGTTCGTATTAAATAAGTTCGGTATTATCCGAGTTTATCGACCCAAGCGACAACAAAGGAGAGAGTTCTCGTAATCAGGCTCCTTTTTAGTCAGGGCTAAGGCCCGTTTGTTAAAAGTTTAAACCCGTAACTTTTAAGACAGAATATTATTATCCTCGTTGCCAAACAGACAAACAAGAAGGGCAAAGACCAAACACAGAGAGAGAGAGAGAGAGAGACCATAGTCATATAACTAAAGGGAGAATCTGCTTAGAACTGAAACTAACCTTACAAAAACATAAAAACTGGTAAACGTAAGTGAGACGTAGAATACAAGCATAAAATGCCTTTTGTCTCACTTTGTTCCAGAGTAGATAGATACCACAAAATCAAAAGAGTTCAAAACTTAAAATAGCACCATAACACAAACCCATCTCATTCCTCATCATCCTCACTGTCTTTGTTCTTCTTCTTCTTATCCTTCTTTTTCTTTTTCTTCTCACTCTTCTCTGCTGCTGATTCATCTTCTGCGTCAACAGCAGCTTCTGTGTCTTTGCTCTTCTTTTTCTTCTTCTTCTCAGACTTTGGCGAAGCTACCTCTTCTTTAACCTCTTCCTTCTTATCTTTCTTCTTCTTCTTTTCCTTCTTCTCAGACCCAACTTCCTCTTCTTTCTCCTCTCCCTTATCCTTCTTCTTCTTCTTCTTAGAAGACTTCACCTTCTCTTCAGCCTCGTCTCCTTCAACTTCTTTGGTTTTAGATTTCTTGGTAGATACAGGAGCAGGGCTATCACTGCTATCATCATGCTTACGCTTACGGGCTTCCCCTGCTTCTCCATTTTCAGCCTCAGCCTTTATCTCCACAGGAGCAGCAGCAGCACCAGCAATCAAAGCATCTCCACCGGTAGGTAAAACCACATTCCTGCTCCACTCAACTGGAGTTTTCTCATTAGGCTTCCCGTGCTTATCCAATTTCCCATCAGCAATTAGCTTCTTCTTCATCGAAGCCCTTGGTCCCAATCCCCACTTCCTTGGGTAAGTATCTCTATCCATCACCACACGTTTGATCTTAGCTACCACACCGTGATCACAAGTAGCCATCACAGATGTCGTCATCTCAGCAATCCCAACAGCAATCGCCTCACCCTTGGTCGTCATAAGAACGACTTCAGTACCAACATCAATGTCATTCTCGAATCTCAACAACCCGGGAATCATCAACTTAGCACCATAACAGATAGCATTCACAGCAGAATCCTTGACAACAAGTCTCTTGTAACTCGTCAATATCACCTCAAGAGGCATAATCACCCTCCTAAGATAAGACTCATCCCTGGAATTGTCATACACAAACTGGGCATCCATCACATCATGCATAGTAACCATGTTATTATTCTCGCCCATAATCCCAGACCTAACCCTCCTAAGCTCCTGCATATGCCCACCAACCCCAAGAAGCAAACCCAAGTGAACACACATAGTCCTAATGTAAGTACCCGCCTCACAAGAAACCCAGAAAACAACCAAATGCCTATCAGCATCATACTCAAGCAGCTTACTTTCATAGATTGTCCTAATCCTAAGCTGTCTTTTAACAGCAGAGATCAAAGGCGGCCTCTGAAAGACAGCTCCAGTGAGCGATTCAAGAGCTCTAGCCACTTTAGCAACATCAGGGACAGCTGAGTGAAGCCGAGCAACACAAACGTACTCTTTACCCGCACCTTGCTGCGATTTCACAAGCCGAGTTGCTCGGTCAATACAGACAATGAGGTTTCCAGTGACTTTGGGGTCAAGAGTACCACTGTGACCCGTTTTCTCAACACGGAGGATACGCTTAATCCAAGCAACGACCTCGTGAGAAGAAGGGTTCGCGGGTTTATCAAGATTGATGACACCGTACCTGATATACTCTTGAAGAGGACGCTTCAGAGGAGAGTAACCGGCGCTGATTGGAGTGTAGTGACCGGTACGGACGTTGAGGAGGTCGTAGTTCTTGAGGAGGATGGGCCACTTAGAAGTGTCAATGGCGGGAGTGAAACTCTGTGGCTTAATCATGTAGTCTCCGGTGTCGGCGGCATCGTCCTCCGTCTTGCCTTGCTTCTTCTTCTCCGAGTGTGAGAGTTCGACCTCCGTCATGGCTCCGGCTGGATTAGGGTTTTGAAAAATGGAGGAGGAGGCGTAAAAAGTTGTAGCAGAGGAAGGAGACGACTGATTGGTAATTTATAAAGGACTAGGGTTTTTTAGGGTTTTAGGTGACAGTGATGACATTGGAAGCTTGAAGGTAATCCCTTATTGGGCTTGAGTTGATTTTTCTTATTGGGCTTTAATACAAGTTCAGTTCGTTTAATGCCCAAATAAACGAGGTCCATATACCGGAGAAAAGTTTGAATGTTATCTTTTGTGAAGTGATCAAGTGAAGACCAGTCTAAAGACCTTTCTTTTTTTTTGCTAAACTTGTAAATATCATATAAATGAAAGTGGTGTTACAGAATAAAACCTAAGATTTGAGCTCTGCCAAAAAAGAAATAAAAAACAGAGTACAACTAGATGGTACTTAGAGGAGGATCCATGGATCTGATCCTCCTAGTTGAAAGTAAATAATAAAATATAAGTAGATAATTAAGGTTCTCCTTTGATACGAAACAATTGAATGTTGTTTTGGTTAGAATTTTCACAATCGCATGACCCATGATAAAAGGTTTATACATATACATATATAATATGATCGTTGATCTTGATACAAGTCTATTATTGCGGTCTCATATTAACAAAACTGCTTATATAGTCAGAAGTATTGATTGGTCACAAACCTAATGAAGCATGAATAACGCCTCGTGCTAAGTCTATATTTAGAGTCGACGTCTGTCTCTTTTGAGGAACAAGAAGACAATCCTTATATTATTAAAACCAAGTTTTGACCACAGAAAAATTAAATATGGAAGAATATAGTTAGTGTATAGTTGCATACTCTCTTTTGCCACATATATTATACCATAAAAAAACTATGTGGCCATTCAAACACATGAAAAGTTATCATTGTTTTAAAATGTTTTGAGTGAAGTGTTGTGATTTGATTCTAAAATTCTTTACCAATTCAACCACCGGCCTAGATTCTGTGAAATAATTCTTCGAATATCCTTATTTACGCTAACTGATTCGCATAACGAACAAAAAGAACCCCAAGTTTCTTCAAGAATATAGGTCCCATTCTTTTAAACTTTTACATTTTACACCTCTAAGTTTCCGCATTAGGTAAAGTCAGCTCTCTGGCTCTCTGTCTCTTTTTTGCCAATAAATAGTCGCTTAACAAACGAACAATTTTTCTTCAAACCTAAAACTCACAAAAGAGAAAACACTTAGCTCAAGTAGGAAATGGCCGGACTTCAATACAGTTTCTTCCCGACCGACTTCTTCTACCCACGAGCTTCTCCTCCTGCTACAACAAGCCTTGTCGCCACCAATCCAAAACTGGAGAAAATCCAAAAGAGAGATGGTTTAGTAGTGATTGATGAAACTCGTGCTTCTATGTCTCTGTTTATACGTGAAAAGAAGACTAATCAGTCACAAACATGGAAGAAGAAGCCACTTTGGATCGAAGAGGACATGTGATGTATATTTTTGATACATCTGGTTTTTGTCATATATTAAGCTACAGTTCTCATGTCTTTTCTTTCGTTGACTCTTCTTATACAGCAATAACTAATAAGGTCAGTATGACAGTATCTACTATACTTTACTTTTGGATTCACGTTTGAATTTTTGATTAGAGTTAGCTTTCAAGGGTACATCAGGATTGGCTGCTTTTAAGGCTGACCTTAACCCAAAAAAACAGAGTGTTTTCTAGATTTTAAAAGGCCTCTATAATGTGCTTCTGTGGATCGTCGTCTTCTTGTAATTCCAGTGTCTATGATATTCAATGCAATTTGCGGCGTTGCCTTATTAATAAAGTTTGCTAAGAATTTGTTATCAGTTTTACAAATTGTAGAATTTTGGTATCAAAATGATCATACTTAATAAATACGGTGCAACATTAGATGAAACTAGGAAGAAAAAGCAGAGGTAAAAGCCAATAATGTGCAACATTAAATTGGGTCTCCCAACTATTCACATTCCCATTGGCAAAATCCAAATAATATAATAAGAGAAAATGCTTAGAAGAAAGTCGACAACACAAGTCTGTAAAGAAACGAAAGAGAATAAGATGAGATCATCATTGGTAAACCAATTTTGTAGCTTCAAGCAGAGACTCCACTCAGAAACATGCGTCCAAGACACAGCAACAGCAGAGAGCAGCAATACTGCAAAAGCAAATCACCATTCTCAGTCATATTCACTATACATCAATATATTACACAATAGCTCATGTAACAACATGTTTAAGCCAGGTAACTCCACAAAGTGAGAAAGAAAACAAACTTGTGAGGAATGAAGACATGACACATCTTTTCTCATAGCCTTACATATCTTACACTCTATTGGTATAGAGTTGCAATGTAAATGCAAAGTCACTGAAATTAACACTATCAGATCCAACATTTTTCTATGCATTACCATTAGGTGAGGACTAAATCCCATTGAAAACAAACTTATGAACAAACGTGACATGACAAAAGAGCTAAAAAAATCATGGTAATACCGAATTACCGATTCAATAAAATCAAATCAAAAGCATGAATTCTCCAAGGATCAACAATTATTGAACCAAAAACTGAAAAACATTGGTAGAACAATATGAGATGGAGCAAATAACTTACCACCCTTCAAGCATACCAGGACTGTGTTTCTGTTGTGGTTGCTGAGGTGGGTAACCTTGTTGAGGATATCCTTGTTGAGGATATCCCTCCGGAGGATAACCTTGTTGAGGATAACCTTGTTGAGGATATCCCTGCGGAGGATAACTCTGGGGAGGATATCCTTGCTGAGGATAGGGTTGTCCCGGAGGTGGATAAGCGTCGACCTTGGGTGGATAAGCGTCCTTAGGTGGTCCTTCCGGAGGATAACCTATTCAGATCGACATATAGGTTACGGATTCAGATCCATCGAAGCAGAAAACATGAATTTCGAAATCAAATTCAGATCGAAACAACACCTTGAATCAAAAAACGAAGTAGTTGAAAAAACTCAAATCTTAAACAAAAAAACGAAGAGAAGAGAGATCATAGTCAAAAACAAAAGAATCAGGAGTGACCTTGAGAAGGAGGAACACCAACAGCAGGAGGTTGACTCATCGTAGTGATTTTCTCTTCTTCTTCTTCTTCTTCTTCTTCTTGTTGGCTACTTTGGAAGATGCAACAGAGAACAAGTGGGGGAAGAAGAGGAGAAGGAAAAGCGCGTCTTATTTGTAGGCGAATTTAGGTTTACTCTTTTAAAGGTATTTCCTAACGGTTATCCTATCAATTTTAGCCACGTTTATTAGTCAACATTTTTTTATGTTTTAAATGTACAGTAAAACCTCTATAAATTAATAATGTTGGGACCATGAAATTTTATTAATTTAGAGAGGTATTAATTTATCGATAAATTAATAATTATTAATTTATAGAGAGATTTTACTAATTTTGTAATTTAAAAAAAAAAATTCTATCTAAAAATAAATTTTTTCTTTATAAACAATATATTTTCAAAAATAATTACAAGTAGAGAACCATTATTGAGTTTAAAAAACAACACAAACTTTTTTCAAATAATAGAGTAATATTTCATAAAAATTTTACATACAATATTTTAAATATATATCATATTAATTCATATATAACATATATAAATTTATATAATATATATATATATATATATTGATAAGTTAATACAATTATTAATTTATGATATAGATGGGACCATATGTTTACATAAGATTTTCAAAAAAATTATTATCTTATTAATTTATCGATTTATGTCATATTTTACACTGGTCCCAACTCGGGACCGGAAGAATTTATTAATTTAGAGAGGTTATTAATTTATAGAGTATTAATTTATAGAGGTTTTACTGTATATCCTAAAATTATTTTGGAATGAACTTTTTTTTTTTTGGGAAGAGAATCCTTAATCAATTCCCTATAAGATATTGTTATATTTATCTTTAACTATTAATTACATTAATTTATTTTGGAAGGATTTTTATATTTAAATCTTAATTACATGATGTTAAAATATTAATTACATTTATTTATTTTTTCAAAGTTTCAATTTTATTTTTTTATTTTGCTTGTATTTTAAACTAATTTAATTTTGGTCAAACGTCAGAGAGACTTTGTTTTCCAAAAATTCACAAAAACAATTATATTTAAGAAAAAAAAAATCTTACCACATTTTATTATATTTTACTTCTCATATTCAACAACTTTTTAAGAAAATCAGAAAAACAACAATATATTTAATTAAATTATTTATATTTTGACACGTCACCAAATTTCATCAGCAATATAGTTTCATAAAAAAAAAAAAAATTCATCAGTAATTTCATATTAGATCAAACCAAAAGATTTACAACCAGAGATAAAGCTGATGAACAAATCTTGGAAAAAAGGGCCACAGATATTAAAAAAGGACTCCATGTTTTCCAACGTTAACGATTCACACCCTAGTGATCACAGTGTCTTGTGGAGTTAAATTAAAACGCTACTAGAAGATCAATTGGAGAATTCACCATTTGCCACTGATGAGATGATGGAATTATGGCATAGGATCCAGTACTGTCTCAATGGCATGTGCATCCATGGCCTTGGAGGAGGAAGATCAAGCCCCAGTTTTGATGGCATTCTGGAAGAGCGAGAGAAGTTAAATGATTTTGAAATGAGAGAGATAAAAGGACTAGAATTTGTGATCAAGATCATATCAATTCACCTTTTCCCACTGAGGACTCCGCGAGCTGATGTTGTCAGAGAAGAAGCTGATATTCCTGAAAATATTGTTGTATAGTGAGGCAAAAGAATCTGTCCTGCAATTTGTTCATGTAAATGTCAGCCAAAATTGAATACCAAACAAAAGTATAACAGAGCATCTAGATTAACTTGTCATTTGACTTAGAAACAGCCAGAAGTTCACCTAAGGTTAAAAAATTGCTGCGAAGATTGGAAACTATTAGATCAGGAGTATCATGTTCTTCTAGTAGACTTTTGGAGTCTGCATCTTCGAAAACATCAGTTGAGGATTTGAGGATATGCTCTCTATAGTGTTCCATTTCAAACCAAACACCACAAGGGAATCGTTTACGCCTGACAAGCCAAATCAAAACCGCTGCATATGGTGTTGCATGGATGACGGAGATGGCAAATTCAATCAACATACATATGGAGTTGATTGTAGTGCTCGTAATGGTGAAAAAGATGTAGAAAACTGATGTTGTTGGCAAGAGAAGTAATAGAGGAGTGAACAGAAGAGATCCCACTACATGTTGCTTCACAGTGTAACCATAGCTGTCCAGCCTTTGACGTAGAGGATTCAATTTTCGCCCTCTGGAAAAACAAAGAAGAAGTCAACATAAGGTTTAAGGAACTGAGATGACCAATAAATACTTAGAATTTTCCTTGGATTCAAGAACTTTAAAAAGAAAACGGAAAAATTATTGCGTCTCCAGCTTTTACATTTAATAAACCAAGAAACTGATTCACCTGAGTATAATTATCAGCTTAATGAATGAACTCAGCTAATTTTAAAACTCAAGATTTACCTGAAAAGCCTCCACAAAGCTGCTAAAGCTTGAATTTGGTGAGAATATACAAGTGTGATTCCCCAGTGAAGAGCCATTATATGAAGTGTTGCAAAAGTAATAACATCTATGACAAATGCGGCAGATACTGTGGCACCAAAAGTAATTCCAAGGATGGCAATTACTCTTATCAAATAAAAGATGAAAGAAGCCATGAAGACCCAGAGAGTAGACCATATCTGTATTACATTAAGAGATACCATGCCTAAAACTCCAGCCAATTCTGTGTTTAACTTAAAACCCGCTGGAACTCCCATCAACCACACACTACCAGACCGCAAAATACCATTCGTAAACTCCTTTGCAAAGTCGAATACAAATGAGCAGACAGATTCGGTGTTAAACAGTAGACCTAGACCAATCAAATTCCCCAAAACAAGATCGACAGCCATGGCCGACCATGTAGAATGTCTTTGCAGTGCAGCTTTCTCTGCATGTTCCACACAGGATATGGACCTTGTGAAACCCAGAAGAATTGTCATAAATCAATAATCGTGTGAAATTTCTCAGAAAAAATGAGAAATGCATTGCATAAAGGTATCTGGAATTAAACATTTATATTTCCCGAGATTAGTAGGTAAGCAGTTGTTAAGAAAAAAAATATGAAGATGCAATTTTGAGCCAAGGGCAAACAGGAAAAGTTTACAAATCTAACTAAAGAAGTAAATTTGGGTATATGGTTGAACTTACATCATGTCATTCTCTTCTAGGAAGATTGGCCAATATAAGATCTGACAACTGCGTATTCTGAAGTTGATCCATGTATTCTTGAGTACCCTCCTCGATGCGATGTGCACCCATGAGAAAATCGGAAAACTTGAAAATAAATAGAAGAATTGCGCAAGGCTATAATACAAACTTGATAAAGAGCCTAAAATTGTGGCGAGTAACCGCCATGTCAAAGAAGATATCCTGAAAAGCAAGATAGAAGCAGTTGGAACTTGGAACAACTAACAACAAAGAAAAAACGAATTCAACAAGGCAAACAAAATATCACGAGAGCTTACAAGTAACAAATGGAAAAGTTCTGAGAAGAAGTCTCCAGCTGCGTGGATATCTTCTTATAGGCAATCTTGGCAGCTGAGGCGCAATTTATGGAAAGAATCACAGTTTCCTGCTTACATAAGAATGAGAGAATATTAGCAACAAGTCGAGAAAGAAACAGCACAACAAAGAGAAGCATTTTGGAAACTACTCAACCATTTCATTCAGAGGTTTCCTGTTGTGAAGATCATCAACCCATTTGGGTTTCTTAAGAGGAGCTTTTGTCTGAGGAGAAGAATTCCAAAAGCTTAACGAGAAATGGTGAGAACCAAACACTGGAGTGTCATAGACTATGACCTGACATGTCCATGTTTAAGGGAGTCAAATACTGGCAGCGTGTAGGTTCAGAAAAGAATAATACAAGAGAAAGACATCATGACTTACATACGTGGACATCGCATTGAGATACAATCTCCCCATTCCAGTGTATATGATGCAATCTAGAACTTGAATGGAGTTCCATAATTCTATGCTCTGCAGAATCACGCACCATTTGAATCCAGTAATTTCTCATAGAATCTTTCCTGAAAGCCTCTAACAAGCCATCAACCCTTTGACAACCACAGCTGAGGCCACTATATTTGCAATATGATCCAGCCTTGCTGCACATATCTTTGTCTGTTATAATCTTTGATACGTTTCCATTAGCATTACGGCTTATATCATAACGACCAAGGAGAGTAAACGCTGCCTTATCCCGTAAAGTTGAGGGCATCTTCTCATTTGTTTCACGAAGTACGTCCTGTTAGAAATCACAAAGGAAAAAATGTCGCATACTTGCTAAAGAAAAGGGTAGGTACAACAAATTCGAAACGAGATGGAAAAAAAGAATTGTTTTTGTTGAAGTGGAGTTATTACTTGGAGCTTAGATCCGGCATTGGACAAGGAGCTTTCATCAGAGATAAAGGCCACAACAACGTCAAGACAAGAAGAGGACTGGCAAACGAACCACCCAAACAATAGACTGTGACTTAAATGATCAGTTGATGCGAGCTGCTTAGGCAACCAAATCCTACATTTTCTCTTCATTTCAGCTCTCTGCCACACAATTCCCAAAATGCAAAACGAAAGAGAACAGCATATCAACAAGCATTTGAAAATGTGAACATAATACAGAAGTCAATTTCAAAAAAAAAGAGAGAGTAATTTATCGATCTAAGAAGACAACTTCAAATGTGAGCTAGAGAACTATGTAAGTAAAGTAAAATCAATAAAACCCCAGAAAAATACTCGCATCCTTACTAAATCGAAGAAGAGACGACGAGGAGTATCAACTACTACAAGGCAATTGACGATCGGAAAGATAAACAGAGATTCATAACACAAATCTGAACCCTAGGACTTTTTTCAATTCAACTTAATTTCGATGCTAGTCTAATCACGAAAAGACGAACCTCGTGTTTCAGGGGAGAAGATAGTCTCGACTCTCGAGTCGACACTTAGTTTAGCAACCGGAAGAAAGATACATTCCGGCGAGGAGACCAACGGCGACAAAGGGAAGAGATAGATATTTTCACTATGGGCCGGGCCTTTTCTTAATTACCGAGGTTCTGGATTAAATATTTAAATAAATTTGAATTTAACCAACATTTTGTTCTTTATTTTTTGTTACATTAGACTTTTTAGAGTTTTGGTGGATTTATGATTTCTAAATTCTAATCCTAGATTAAGGGGGTGTTATTGGTTTATTAATTTGTAAATCCATATAGAAATTGAAAATTTCTATTAATTATGAAATCAAGATATATGGATTTTGAAATAACATGTGTTTACCCATGGATTTGAATCCTTCTATTTTTCTCTTTCAATTCCATTCAAATCCATTTAAAACATAATTTGGATTCTCAAATCCAAAAACAAATGATTAAACCAATAACAAAGGATTTCAACTAGTATTTATAATTCATAGAACCAATAACACATGATTTTAATTAGAATTTTAAAATCATTGATTGAATAACAAATGATTTTTGTTTGGATTTCTAATTCCTTAAAAATCCATGAACCAATAACCCCTCCTAATACTGTAGTTTAGTAATAAAAGCCAAGGATGTTAACAAATGCTTGAAGATTTCTTAGTTAAAAGTTAAAACATACAAAGACACAAAATCTTAAGTGTAGTTAGCTTATTTGATAATCCATACTAAAATCATATAATGAATTAAAAAAAAAAAAGGATCGATGTGGATTTAAAAATGGTTTGAAATACACAAACCAACATAAACTTTCCAAAATGACTACACTGATGAAAGCTAATCTGTAACTAAATCAGCTGGACTAGATCTTAATCTCTCTTATTTATGTCCATACAAGTTGTTACTATGAAACAATATCAGAGAGAAAATCTGTGCTGTCTTGTTGCTTCTTCCTCCTACGAGCATCATCAAGCTTACTAGAATGCGTTCCAAGCACTTCGGTGATGGCTTTTGGCAACCAGAAGCCAGGCCGCTCAAGAAATGGTGCGCGGTCAATAACCAACGGTTCTCTCAAGGTTACATCAATCCCCTGATAAGTCCATAATGCTAGTGTTGCTGCACCTTTGAGACCAAGGGATAACCAGCCAAGACCAGCCACTGAAATGTCTATGCTTTTCACGTCCCAGCTATTTCCCGACACCTGAATCTCCTTCTCTTCCCATGTTCCTAATTCAGACGCTCTGTTCTCTCCAATTGGTGGCTATACATAAAAGGAAAATGGGTTTCCGTTACATTCTGATGCTGCGGGAAAGAGGAGATGCGCAAGAAACAAGCTTTACTTACCTGAAGGCGTAAACCGGAATGGCCCTTGAATATTTCTTCGGCATTCTCTGTTTTTCCTAGATGCAATGAAACACTATGTGATGCCCATATTGTAATGTATATTGTTTCAACTGAAGCAGAAACGAGGTCTAGCCTGACCAAGCCACCAATGTGAACTGACTGTCCTGCCTGCAAATAAAAGATTCAACAAAATCAGCTTAATTCTTGGAATAAGAAATTCTTCTACTTGAAGCTGTAAAACAGTTACAGTGAATTCTTCTTAGAACAATGTACTGGTTAAAAGAAGCTCCAGAGTTTAGAACTTTAGAGATTAAGGCATCAATTCCAAAACCAAAAGCTTAGAAAAAATGCTTAGATATAAGTAAGAGAGAGCTTGCCTTGACTCTGTAACTCCGAGGTTGAAGCTCCTTCCTTATCTCTACCATTTTCCGCTCCTCTGGATTCAATCTCAGGGACATAAGGTAGGGATGCAAAAGGCCGGGAGTGTCATACATCTTCGCCTTTGCAGACAATATTCCACCAATTCTCAATATTCCAAGAGTTGTTCCAGGAACCGGAGCTTCCGTGAGCCTCGTGACCTTTGCACCATCTTTCTTGGATAAGGCATTAATCAAAGTAGATTTCCCCGCGTTCTGAGCTCCAATAACCCACACGTTTCCTCTTGGACCAGCCAACTCTTTAATGTAAGCTAACAGATTCTTAACACCAAGATCTTTGCGAGCACTAACCATATAAACCCCACTCAGCTTAGGCGCTCCTCCAGCCTTGGCACGGTGGCGCACCCATCGGTCTAACCGAGCTGGTGAAATCTGTGTCGGGAGTAAGTCTACTTTTGTTGCAACAAGCACAAGTTTTGGGAGGTTTTTGCTACCCTTAGGATCATTTTCAGCTTTTTGAAGCACTTGAAACAGAGACTTGGCTGCTCGTTTGGGAAACGAACCATCAAAGTCGACACAATCAACAACCATGACTACAACTGTAGTGCTGGAATTACTCATCGGTTTTATCAGTCTAGTTGATATCAACCTATCAAAATCGAAATCTGGTAAGAGGTTCTCTGCAGCCTGATTCTTCACTTGGCCATAATTCCTCAGAGAATGGCAACGAGCACACACCGTCACATCATCATAATTGTCTTTCTTTGCCTCTTCCCTAGCTATCTTCTTCCTCTCTGTTTTCGAAACCCGTTTCTTCTTCTCCTTCTCCTCAGTGACATTACCATATCCAACACCAGCCGGAGCAAAACCATCCAATTCAACATCATTCACTTCCTCCTTGTCTTCCCACTCATCTGATTCCCAGTCAAACTCACTCTCACTTTCAGAGTTGCTACCTTCTATTGCATTCTTGATCTCATCATCCATTTCATCATCTTCCCCTTCCTCCTCCTCCTCCTCCTCTTCATCCTCATCAACCATTTCAAACCCATCAAGCTCATCATCTTCCTCCTCTTCATCAACTTCCAAGTTCTTTGCAATGACCTTTCTCTTCTGATAAAATCCAGGCAAATCTGGATCATTGTCCTGCATAAAAATCCCACAACCTGGACAAATAATCTTCCCATACTCCTCATCTTCATCTCTTCCTTCGCTCATGATAAGATTTTTTGCTTTCTTCGGAAAAATCGTCCCTTTAACACTATCCACGCTTTGAACAACTTGTTCTTTCTTCACAGCTAAACACGTAACCGAAACTGCACATTTCTTCTTCTTCTCATCACTCAAGCCTAGTGAAAAGTTGAGTACTTTCTCAGATACCCATCACGAAATCGAGAAACTTAATCCGAATTTCAGCGAAAGGAAATAAAAATTTACCAGAGAAAAATAGAACTTCGGGTCTGGGTATCAACCGGCTAACGCGAAAGCTTCCGTCTTCAAGCTTTGGTTTTACTCTGCAAATCGTCACTGTACTTGAAATCAAAACCACCATTTCGTTTGAGAGTGTGTCACTTCTTCAGAATTGAGATGATATCGCGCCGAAAATTTACCGGGATAAGCAACTCCGTCGAAAGGATTAGTCAGAGAGAATCAAAACGCAGCGTATTGGCTCGAACCTGACTTCAATTTTTCACTCTAAACCCTACAGATAATTACGTAAATACCCTCCAACTCAGAGGAAACGTCGACAAAGAGTTTGAGCGTAAAACACTGATTACCCCAAGAATTAATTATCTAATGATCGTATAAGTTTTGCAAATTCGGTTTTGTTGATTCTCTTTGTGTCTGTGTGACTAAACCTTATGAGAATGAAGGAGAATTACGTGGAAGACATTAGAGACTCAAATTTTAAAACAGAGTCTTAAAGGATAAGGTTGTCCTTGTGGAGGCCCATCACGCGGACAAGAAACGAAGCTTAAACCCCGTTTGATATTTTAGTCGGAGCTCCGGTGAAAAAATGGCGGCAAAGATTACTGGTGGAGGCTGCTCATGGCGACGCTTTTACAGGAAGAGAACACCATCTCGATTTCTGATTTTCTCTGTTCGAGCATCTAGTTCCATGGATGATATGGACACCGTCTACAAGCAATTGGGTATGTCTCTGTTGAGTTTTTAGGTGAAGCAAAATAGTAAATTTGGAACTGGGTTCTAGGAATTCAGATTAAAGTTGGGAGCTTTATGATTTTGGAAAGTTGGTATATTTGTGAGTTTTTGAAATTTGTCTCAGGATTGTTTTCATTAAAGAAGAAGATTAAAGATGTTGTTCTTAAGGCTGAGATGTTTGCACCGGATGCTCTTGAGCTTGAAGAAGAGCAATGGATAAAGCAAGAAGAAACAATGCGTTACTATGATTTATGGGATGATCCAGCCAAATCTGATGAGATTCTTCTCAAACTAGCTGATCGAGCAAAAACAGTTGATTCCCTCAAAGACCTCAAATACAAGGTTCTTTTTGTTTACTCTTTAACAAATCTTCTTGTTTTTTAATTGTGTGCAAGAAATTTAGTTTTTAATTGTGTTTGTTTTTAGGCTGAAGAGGCTAAGCTAATCATACAATTGGGTGAGATGGATGCGATAGATTACAGTCTCTTTGAGCAAGCTTACGATTCATCGCTCGATGTAAGCAGATCTTTGCATCACTATGAGATGTCTAAGCTTCTTACGGATCAATATGATGCTGAAGGCGCTTGTATGATTATCAAGTCTGGATCTCAAGACGCAAAATCTCAGGTCAGTTTCATCATTCTCAAGGCACTTACAGTTTCCAACTCTTTGCTTGTATCTTAGTTTCTATATGTTCTTACACACATATTGAGGATTTGCAGATATGGACAGAGCAAGTTGTAAGTATGTATATCAAATGGGCAGAAAAGCTAGGCCAAAACGCGAGAGTGGCTGAGAAATGTAGCTTCTTGAGCAATAAAAGTGGTGTAAATTCAGCCACAATAGAGTTTGAATTCGACTTTGCTTATGGTTATCTCTTAGGTGAGCGAGGCGTGCACCGCCTTATCATAAGTTCCACTTCTAATGAGGTATACATAATAAGTTATAACTCCTCTTTCTCGTAATCAATCACTTTCTTGTCCATTTTCATGCCCCGGGAAAGAATTAAAAAGATGTTTTCTTTGCGCCAGGAATGTTCAGCGACTGTTGATATCATACCGCTATTCTTGAGAGCATCTCCTGATTTTGAAGTAAAGGAAGATGATTTGATTGTTTCGTATCCTGCAAAAGAGAACCATAAAATAGCTGAGAATATGGTTAGTATTCAACATATACCGAGTGGAATAACTGTTGAATCGTCAGGTATGATCGAGTATATTACACTTCAGTTTACTGCATTTTATGCAGATTATAATACAAGGTTTTTGATGCAGGAGAAAGAAACCGGTTTGCAAACAGGATCAAAGCGCTAAATCGGTTAAAGGCGAAGCTGCTTGTGATAGCAAAAGAGCAAAAAAATTCGGATGTAAATAAAATAAACAGCAAGAACATTTTGGAACCATGGGAAGAAACGAGGAGATATGTCTCTAAGGGTCAAAAGATGGTGGTTGATACAAAAACCGGTTTAGAGATTCTGGACCTGAAATCGGTCTTGGATGGGAACATTGGACCACTCCTTGGAGCTCATATTAGTATGAGAAGATCAATTGATGCGATTTAGGCTTAATCAATTGATACTTTAATTTTTTTTTTTTTTTTGCATACAAAGCAACAAATGGTTGCTTGTGTGTGTATATACAATTTGTTGTCGAGAACAATATATGATTCTAACCATCAAACAAAGTAAGAATTGGTGACTATGTGCGATTGTCAAATCCGGTTTGAGATCATATTTTTTTGGTTATTGGTTTATATGTTTTCTATTTAATCTGTTGTCTACACTCTACAATATCACCATGAAAACTTCAAACTAGAGTTCTTTTGATAAATATCGAAACGGTTTTACCAATTAGACCAAAACCATGAAACTCTTGTTTTAATTGTCAGAATCGAGAAAGTCATATTGTCGTGTCACGTTGATTACATTCTCGAGTTAGTGATTAGCCTATTGTGATGAAAAGTAAATAAATAAGGGGTTTGGCAGAAAACTCTATAATATATGTTGTAGAGTTTGGCAGAAACTTTAATTATTGAATCTCCTATAGATTACTTTACGTAAGGGGTTTGGCAGAAAACTCTATAATATATCTGATTACTTTACGTTATCCGAAGACCGATTATTTTGTCAGTTTTCCTTAAACCTAAAATGCATTTTCTCAACTTACTTTAGCATTAATTAAAAAGCTCGTCGAGTTTGTTTTCAATAGTTTTAAAAATCTAATTTATTGTTTACCAAAATTTTTTATGGTCATTTAAGTATATTGAATTTAAAGTTATCAACTTTTGGCTACATTATAATATAAGAAAAGTCACTCGACCAGTTGAAATTTGACTAGTAACTTGTAAGCTGAGAAACATAAAATTAAAATACTAAAAAAACTATATATTATACATATTAATCCAAGAGTATGTGAACTCATAAATAATCCATCGATTTAACGTGATTATTTGTCTAATCCTATACTATTTGACATAATTTTATTTAATAAATGAATTCAGTTTAGAAGAAGAAAAAAAAAACTAACTAATTAATGATATGGGATGTATTATTTTATTTTATCATTTAATTTTATTGGATGTATTATTGATATATATATATATATATAATCTTTTTTTTTTCCAGCATATATATATATATATATAATTATATATATATATATATATAATCTTCGTTCAACAGAAAAAAAAAGGAAATGGTTGTTTTGTCAATAAGAAAAAAGGAAATAGTTGGCCAAAAAAGGAAATTATATTTGTGATAAAATAGGAAGAAAATAAGAAGAAAATGCCAACAGACAAACGGCTCCGTCACCAAATTGACGAGACTCTCTCCTTTCAAACTTTTCAGTTTCAATTTCTTCGTCTCCCTCCCACACCACCTCTATACACATTCGATTCACAGTCTATATATCTTCTTCTTCTATGCCTCTAGCGTTTTCCTCACATGGCCGGTCTATACTCCTCCTCCAAGCCCACTGTGTCTTCTTCTTCTTCTTCAACATCATCATCATCTTCCTCGCGTCTTTTCTTGCTCGTAACCCTTCTTCCTCTCTCTCTCGCCTGTTTCGCTTTCGTTCTCCAATGGCGTGGCGGACTCGACGACCCGGTTACGCATTGGTCAATAGATCATCACGAGTTTCCCGGAATGGTTACAACCCAAGAGAAACGGTCCTTGCGTCGTTCAGTTTCTGATTCGGGTTGCGTTGATCTTCTAGGTCAGAGTCGTTCCCCTTCGTTTCCTTATTTCCGGAATTGGAAATTTGATTACGACTCCGATCTGAAACCTAGGGTGAGCCCTTTCTGATCCAATTTTGGGTTTTCCTGATTTTGATTTTATTGCCATATATCGTTGATTCGTTGCTACTTTGATTCCTGATAAATTTCTGGTTACTTTTGTCTCTGGCCTGAGATTTGATTTGAGTCCTGCAGGAAAACTTGTGATTATGAAAAGATTGTGACTTTGTGCAAAAATGTGCTTTTGTTTTGTGATTTTTTTAATGCTAGATATGCATTACAACAAGCACTTCTGCTGGCTTAGAGCAAACATTGCCATGGATTTACTTTCACAAAGTTATTGGAGTTTCAACATTTTATCTATTTGTTGAGGGGAAGGCTGCATCTCCAAATGTATCTCGAGTTTTGGAGACCATCCCTGTAAGCTCTGGAACTTTAGCCTGATCCATTGAATTTTGTTTTTCTGGCTCAGTATCTTCTTATTGCTAATGCGTTTTGTTTTGCAGGGTGTAAAAGTTATACACAGGACAAAAGAGTTGGAAGAAAAACAGGCTAAAAGGTATTTCTCTGGTCTGCATCTTTGTGGATATTGGTAATAATAGATCTGCTGTGATTTCATTGAAATTTTGTTCCTTTACTTTTAGATCTAAATATCCACTAATGTGTTTTTCAACAGCCGGATTTGGAATGAGACTTGGCTGTCGAGCTTCTTCTACAAACCGTGTAACTATGAATTATTCGTGAAACAGTCCTTGAACATGGAAATGGCAATCACCATGGCTCAGGTATCTCTTACATTTTCCATAGTTGTTGCATAAGGTTTGTGGTAATTGCACTAGATAAAGTAAAAAAGCCAACTGTCTCTTAGACTCTCACGCCATTTTATGCGGTGTATTTAGGACGCTGGTATGGAATGGATAATTCATCTTGACACCGATGAGCTTATACATCCTTCTGGAACCCATGAATATTCTTTACGGAAGTTGCTGGGAAATATTTCTGCAGACGTGGATATAGTTATCTTTCCAAATTATGTGAGTCTTACAGGAGTTAGGAGTTCATTTTTATTCTGAAAAAATGCTTCTTCTGGCTTCATCAGCATTGTCTGTGTTTCAGGAGAGCAGCGTTGAGCGAGATGATATCAGGGAACCTTTTAGCGAGGTATAAAAATTATCATTTGAAGCTATTTTTCTCACATGAGAAATTGATCACATGATTGTTTACCTACCATAGGTACATTATTATCTTTATAGATCATTAGATCTAAAACCTACTTTATTTGCTGTACATTCATTTTATTGTAGGTATCAATGTTCAAGAAGAATTATGACCATCTTCTGAGAGATGTCTACTTTGGAAACTATAAAGACGCCACTCGTGGAAATCCAAACTATTTCTTAACCTATGGAAATGGGAAAGCTGCTGCCCGTGTTCAGGACCATCTTCGTCCCAATGGTGCTCATCGATGGCACAACTACAGAAAGAGTCCAAAGTATGCTCTTTTCTCGTTAAATTGTCTCTCATTTGACTCTTTGTATCTGGCATCGCTTCTCACTGTATATAATAGTATATTAGTATGTTAGATTCTACTACGGTTTATTCAATAGAAGCTTATAGTGGGACATGGACTAGCCTGAGGCTGTCAATATCAATTGTTTTTGGGTTGCTGACAATTTTGTGGCTGATTCATGGCATCTTTTTTACAGTGAGGTCAAACTAGAAGAAGCTGCCGTGCTGCACTACACTTATCCCAGATTTTCAGATCTTACTTCAAGACGTGATCGTTGTGGCTGTAAGCCCACTAAAGTGGATGTCAAGAGATGTTTCATGCTGGAGTTTGACAGAGCTGTGAGTGGAGATTTATATTTTTTCCTTTCTATTTCCTGCATCTTATTTCGGAATATATAGTCAGTCACAGCTCTTGGCCATCACATGTAGGCATTTATTATTGCTTCAACCGCGAGTTCAGAGGAAATGCTTCAATGGTATCAATATAGATTTAAATATAATCACTGCTCTTTATCTCATTTTCCCCTGATTCAATCTAACAAGCTTCACTAATACAGGTACAGAGAGCATGTTGTGTGGACAGATGAAAAATTGAAGTTGAAACTCCTTAGGAAGGGAATTCTGACCCGCATTTATGCTCCCATGGTTAGTTGCACATACCCAAACTACATTCTTTATTTGACATGAACGATTAGTGTTTAGTTTTCCACAAGCTATCATCTCTTACAGGTTATAATCCAAGAGCTAAGAGAAGCTGGTGTTTTTAGCTCTGTGGTAATCGCAGCTCACATGTCTCTCTCGAAGAACTCTTCAACTGCTGATTCGACATCAGGCATTACCCGAGAATCATCTGAGGCAACTGGTAGGAGGAGGGTGTTGGAATTCCATCTTGATTTTGACGGTAAATCTCAAGCATCAGCGGTACCACCACAATCGCCTCCAGGCTTGGAAGCAACCCAGATGGAACAATAATCTGAAATCTGAAAAGTGATTACAAAGAGTGGGATTTTTTAGAAAGATCTTTAACAGTTTTTGAACCTGGGTGTACATTTAGGAAAGTTTTCGTTTAGGTTATACACACAGATGATTCTACAGGTGAAGAGGAATGTCATATAGCAGGCTTGTATCATACTTGATCATGTTGATGATTCTATAACTTCAAATACAAAATCATTGTCTTCCTGATCTGACTATTAGTTTCCTTTTGTGCTCCTTTAACTTCATATGAACATGTGGATCCTCAGCGTTACACACTTGTGTTTCTCTTTCCTCTCGCTCTGTTTTGCTAGGTCCTTATCGATGAGCAAGGGTTTGCAATTACGTTTCCAGAACTCCTGTCATCAAGTATCAACTTATCTCTAACTTCCATTATTCAGATTTATGGTTTTCCTGAAATGTGAAGATTGGTTTCTCAACATCTTTAGCTTCTTATGGGTTCAGACTTCCGAGTCACTCAGCTGATTTTTCGAATCCCAGTGTTTACAGCTTAATGTTTCACACTGAGAACAGGCACTGAAAAGAACTGATAAGGTTGTGGACCTTGTGGTTGATAAGTTTCATTATATCTTAATGTTATTTTAGAGATAATGATGTTTCAGACTAGCTAGTTACTGGAGAATAAAATGTCATTAGCTTGTACATGGTGGATCTGGCCAAATTATACGTATTATTTACTCTTACTGCATTGTTTATACTTTTCTTGTTAACTTATTTCTTACACTTTGATATAAAAGAAAATAAGATATTAGTAATTGCCTAAATGCACATGAATCCCATAGTTATTTCTTTATACATTTACTCAACTTTTTGGGTATACTTTCTGATGGCTGATTCTATGGATCTTGTTTTGCGAAGACGATCAGCCAAGCCAATGCCGTGGTTTATGTAAGCACAGCGCCGCCGCCATATCCGCCGTGATTTGTGAATTAAACGCCGTGACAGAAGTTTACTACTCAGACTCGTACTCTTTTTTTCTGAACTCTGATTCTGGTGAACCTTTTCTGGAATAATCTCTGAGCTCTGATTCCAACCGTCGAGAATGAAGCATCCCGTACGCTCATTGAATCTTCTTCTAACTACAGCAATGCGATCAAATTTCTGACCACAGCGAGCCACACAACAGTCAATGTACCTTATGTAGACAGTTGCATTTTTGGCAGTGAGAGAGGACTCACTCGGTGGCTCCATAGTTTCTATGGCTACATTCACAATCTTCAAGCGGGAAAGATCATGATCCTTACTGGTCCAATCAGATCTGGCAACAGAAAGTTCCAAATACAGACGAATCCAGTCATTGTCTTCCAGCTCTGATTCATCCACCAAGTAAAATCGGTTTTCGTTTTCGAAAGGATTCTCCTGCGGGAACTCAGGCAAGCTACCCATGAGACAGAATCTTCTTCCAGACGAATCTGTAGCTTTAGGGCCTAAATATAAAATGATGGATGAATTAGTAGTTGTAATAATGTATGTATACAACAAAAATGAACCACAAGCAAGTAAGTCAAGTAATTACCTCGACGAGGTCTAGCAATAAAGGAGGTCAAAGCAAACTTGCCACAACATTCTTCATTAACGTTAGTCTGAAAATGAACAAGTTTTCCACTAGATGGATCCATTGCAACCAAAGTAATGTAGTAAGAGGCAGCAAGAGTCAGAGTCATGTTGTATCTCTTAACGTGAGAGAGATCAAAGTTTGTCCCCTGATGATCGATCATCAACAAAAGAAACTGAATAAGAGAAGGAGTGAATAAAGAAAGGAAGACAAGAGTTTTGAATGATTGTAACAAACCTACCTTAAGCAAATTGTAACGATGAAGGCCCATCCAAGCATAAAGGAATACTAAGCCACAACAAGGTGACTTGTGACTACAGTTCTTTCTCCTAAATCCAATACAACTCCCGACGTCGAACACCTAATTATAAAGATCCATCCATGATCTCTTATATAAAAAGAAGATGAAAGGAAAAATTACCCCATATTTCTCCAAGGATTCCCTAGTGCCCTTCACCGCACGTTCATGAGCCTTCCTACCAAATTCGGTACCTTGAAACCGCAGGAACATTGTCTCTGGATCCAAATTTCGTCGGATGCTCTTTGTGGTCGATTTAGGTTTTCTTGTGCCACACGACTGATTGATCCGGCCGACTCACTTCTGGGCTCCTGTTGGGCTTCACAACCCTTACTTAATCCCCTTTCCTTTTATTGTTGCAATCTTCTTATTTCTTTCTTTTTTTTTCGGAACATCTTTAGCTTCTGGTGATCTGGAGCAAGAGCAACAATCTAGAAGAAGAGAAGTTAAGTCAAAATAGTAGCAGCCAACAACTTAGAGGAAGTGATAAGGTTGTACTTGATAAGTTTCACTTGTTATGGTTATTGGCTTGTGTTTAGTTTGGATCTGAATCCTTTGATGACTTTTTCCTTGTGTCAATGTTTTGGTATGTTTTGAAGGTAGTGATGGTAATGGTGATAGGGTATGATGTGGGAAACTGTTGAAGATGATATGATCATTATCAGGAAATTCAAGAAAGAGGAATTTAAGTTATGATCTTTTACAATCAAGTTTCACTCATCTCAGCTGAGTTAATTACATAAGAATGTTGTTCTTCAGGTTTAGTCCAGCATTATCTTGAAGAACAATTTATCACTATTCACTACTTTAGAATAAAATATCATTAGCTTATACAATTTGGATTTCGCCAAACTATACGTATGATTTACTCTTACTGCATTCTTTATACTAATCTTGTTAACTTGTTTCTTACACTTTGAAAGAAAAAAATAAGATATTAGTAATTGAGCAATTTCACATGAATCCCATAGTTATAATTTATAAACTTTTTTGGCCCTTTTTTTTCTTCTTTTTCACATGAAAAATAATTCTTAAAGTGAGGTGTGATACGGTGTCGTATTGTTGTTTTAAAGTGGCTAATTGAATGCGGAGAGACTTGAGAAGCTTCAGCGAAAAGTCGAAGAAGCAAATCCAGAGGCGGGGAACCAAAGTAGCCAACGGATCCGCCATGGCAGCTCGTAAGAGAGCTTCTTCAGTCACTAATTCGGCGAAAACAGCTCTATCTGAACCAGCATCGTCCCCGACGGAGCTGAAGACTGTAGTTTCCGGCGAGGATTTCCGTCTCGCGCCGCCCAAATTGGGCGTGATCTTTGTGATCTCTTCGCTTCTTTGTTCGCTTTATCTTTACCTTCTCTGTTTCCACTACAATGTTGACAACGAGCTCAAGCGTCCGATCCTCATTAACGCTGGGCTTAGTGTGGTTGGGTTCTTTGTCACACTCAAATTGATTCCCGTGGCTGCTAGATACGTTCTGAGGCGTAATATGTTTGGTTTTGATATCAACAAAAGAGGCACGCCTCAAGGAGAAGTTAAAGTGTATGTCTTTCCTTCTTTGATTTGTCTCATTTCTTGTTTAGGTTTCAAATTAGTATTAGTGTTCATTGTTTTGCTTGAAAATGGATGTCTCTTAGATTTGATTTTTGTGGGGGAGGAAAACTATGACATGTCTCATTTTCTGATTGATGTTCTATCGATGTTTAGGCTTGATTTGATCTCAGGGGACACTTGATATCTGCTTGTGTAGTCGGCTTAAAGTGTTTTGATGTGCTTATTTTCTGCAATCTTATTTCTTTGTAGGCCTGAGTCATTGGGAATTGTTGTTGGTATTGTCTTCTTGATAGTGGCGATAGTATTTCAGTTCTTTAATTTCACTGAAGATTCGGTGGTAAGTGTGCTGGTCTCAAAAGATCAAGCTTGATCATTCATTTTATGTGAACTATGAACTTGGTAGCTCTTGGCTCATTTACTTTGAACGCAATTCATCAATCTGGCTTAATGACTCGGTGCAGTGGCTTGTGGAGTATAATGCAGCACTGGCGTCTATTTGCTTCATGATTTTGCTTGGATTTGTAGATGACGTCCTTGATGTGCCTTGGAGAGTGTAGGTGCAGTTCTTATTTTGTTGGATTAAAAATTCATGCTTTATTTTCGTTCACGTGTTAATTCTTGTCAATTTGCAGGAAACTTCTCTTGCCATCTTTTGCAACCCTTCCATTGTTAATGGCTTATGCTGGACATACAACTATCGTCATACCGAAACCTCTTGTTTCTTATATTGGCTTGGAAGTGTTTGATCTAGGTACAATTCTTCTTGTATATAGTGTTAAACCATCAGTAGCTGTTTTCAAATTGATTTCCTTAATTGTATTTTTATCTTGGCAGGACGGATATATAAGTTATATATGGCGCTACTAGCTGTCTTTTGTACAAATTCTATAAACATTCATGCTGGTTTGAATGGCCTAGAAATCGGTCAAACCGTAGTTATTGCAGCTGCTGTAAGTTCTGCAGTCAAAATGCGTCGCAATGCTTCATTTTTTTGGTCCCATTTTTCCTTCTGTTGGTTTCTCCTAAGTAAAGATATGATAAATCTCAGTAACTTGTAGATTCTGATACACAACATTATGCAAATCGGAGCATCTGTTGATACTGAGTATCATCAAGCTCATGCCTTCTCAATCTATCTTACTCAGCCATTGATGGCAACATCCTTGGCAATGCTTGCCTACAATTGGTAATATTTTGATCTTTCAAGTCCTTTTCTCTTAAATCTATCTGGTAAACAAGCAAAGCAGAATGCTTTCTCTAACCACATTCATGTCCCCTCTTTGGTGTTGTAAGGTACCCTTCTGCAGTTTTTGTTGGAGACACTTACACAGTCTTTGCCGGAATGACTATGGCAGTTGTTGGCATTCTCGGTCACTTCAGGTGTACTTCCAACCATACAGTCCTTATTTCCCTGTACTCAGATTCATCGTTTACACTTAACTAATGTGTGAGCCTTCAATTAACTAACACCTTTTGAAAATTTGTTTTTTCAGTGAAACCCTCTTAATCTTTTTTCTTCCTCAAGTGTTGAACTTTTTATTGTCACTGCCGCAGGTTTGATACTTTTCTTCATCTTATACTTTCTGGTACTTTTCAGTTCATTTGAAAGCATATAACTTGCTATTGTATAACTCTTCAGCTTGCTGGCATTGTGAAATGTCCACGACATCGTCTCCCCAAGTAAGCTATTTTTTGTCTTTTTTTTTTTTTCATAAAAAGCAAAGCCAACAAGTCAACAACACATGACTCTTCCTCTCTCTCTTTCGAACCAGGTATGATCCTGCTACGGGACTGTTAACGGGAACAAAAGATGGGACACTCGTGAACGTCTACTTGAGGATTTTTGGTAGGAAATCAGAAAAGTCTCTATGTATTCATCTTCTTGTTTTCCAGGTAAACTTGTTAATGCCCATATTATCATCTCTAAATACAAGTCAGCTTGTTGTGAAAGAGAGAAATCACAAATTTGGTCTTTTTGTGTTTTCTATTGCAGGCTCTAGCTTGCGCCTTTTGTTTCATGCTTAGGCATTTTCTAGCTGGTTGGTACAAATAAATCTCTGCAACATGAAGAAACTCTAAACGTGTTCCTCGTTTCATCTCCCTCTCTGCCTTCACAAATCACACATACAGAACTTGTTTTGCTTCATGTCCAATCTATAAGCATCATCATTTCATTTTAGTTCACTTATATAGAGAGTTTTCATCTAAAGGCGAGTGTATCTCAACAATATCAAGCCAATGAAATGAATCAGAACCATCTATCTTGGAATGTTGTCACTACAGTGAGGAAGATTCGTACACTGATTACAAATGAAAAAATAGGAAATTAGCTAAGAATGATTTGTTTGACAAAAAAAAAAATTATCAGTTGAATATTTTTTTTAGATTTTAATTACAAATGCCAATCTTATGTTAGCTAGGATTTTTTTTTTTAAAAAAAACTAAATTTTCTTGATTAAAGTCTGATAATATCGATTTCTCTCGCTATAGGCTTTTATAGCATACATTAAAGTGTCCATTTAGGCATTTATGTTTGGATTAAAAAAATGTGCTTTTAATATTAGACTACTGTCGTACTAGAATAAAGAATGTAATAAAAATAGAGGGAGAATCGTAAAAGAAACCCACTTATGGCATGCCATGTGTCAAAACATAACAAGCGAAGTATGTTTATATAGTAAGAAAACCCTTTTACCCTAAATATCCCAAATTGTCATATGTTCTTTCCTTATGTAGCTCTCTCTGCTCTTTCTCTTTCCTTTTTCTCTTTCGATCAACAAAACCACATCTCTGAACTGAACCATTTTTCTTCTTCCCTTCCGGTTATCGGATTACCAGATCTCGTTTCCCGCGATCTAATTTCTTCTTAGGTTTTTGAAAAAGGTAATGTTCGATTTTGAGTTTATTGAATTCGGAAGATGATTTTGAATTGACGATTATGTTTGTTGGTGAAATTGATATAGCAGCAGGAGGAGAAAATGGGAAGGGGAAAGATCGCGATTAAGAGGATTAACAACTCTACGAGCCGTCAGGTTACGTTCTCCAAGCGAAGGAATGGATTGTTGAAGAAAGCTAAGGAGCTTGCGATTCTCTGCGATGCTGAGGTTGGTGTTATCATCTTCTCTAGCACCGGTAGGCTCTACGATTTCTCCAGCTCCAGGTACCTTTTTTGTTTTCTCTTTGGTTGACTTTTTTTGGTATTGGTCCTGATGATTTTGATTGATTCATGAAGCAATTTCTAAATCTCGATTTTTTTTTTCTTGAATCGATTTCTTGTTAATTTATTTAATCTGCAAATTCAATTGGTTTAGGGAAAGAATCGTAGATCAACTTAAACAAAATCCAAACACGGTTTGATTTGAGATTCATAGAGTATAGGTTTTGTAAGGGGAATATGAGAGTGTGTTCTCTGTGTTGTTTGAGATGATTACGATATTTGTGTGGAGCATAGATTGTGAGGACTTGTGGTGTTTATTGAAACATACTAAATTTGGTAGAAACTTTATCAGAAGAGGAAAGGAGGGGAGAAAGTGGTTAGTGGTTGAAGAAACTCTAACTCTCTCGCTCATCAAGTCTTGAAACCACTTTTTTTTTTTATAGTCTTCTTGGTTTGGGTAGAGAGGATTTAGAAAGAATCGTCTCTTTTCACTATTCCCTTTTCTTTATTGGCAACTAGTTGGTGGGTTTGATGTACCTAAAATGAGCTGCATTATCTTCTCTTACTATATTGTTAGTACACAAGTGGGGGAATCATTTCTGATTTCGTTGTCATCCATAATCAAGTTTTTGCTTTTTTAATTATTCAACTTGGTCATTAGTTTATGATATGTAGGAGTATAGTCTTTCTTTTTGGAAACATTTTGCTATTTGTTAGAAAAATATTATATCATCAATCCCTTCTGAATTTCTACTTTAGGAATTCATTCATTTCTTTATTTGAATGTATCATTTATGTTTATTATATATTTAAAAAAAGGTTGAATAAAATCTGGCTCTTAGATCTGTTTCAGAGGGAGAAAGCTTCCATTGTTGTGCAGAGCTTTTGTTGTTTATCTGTTTTTAGAACTGGGACTCTGTTTTTGTCTTTCTTTTTTCTCTTCAATAAAGACAGCAAAATAAGAAAAGAATTTGTAGCATCCATCAGAGGTGTTACAGCAGAGAAGGAAATAAAAATATTCTTAAGTAGAAAAGATCGTCAGAAATAGATGTAATGGTTCCAAGAGATTGGGGCATTAGATAAGAAAAATATTAGAGGCATGTTGTTAAAGGGTCTTTCACGTTTATGTCTCACTGATCCATATCTATACTCTTGTTTACTGATTAGAACTCTGCTTAAACTTCATACATCATATTAGATTTATTGCGAATCTGTAGTTGGGGTGCAGAGAATGGCTTAGGGTAACAAAATCTATCTAAGTAAAAATTTTGACACTGAAAGATGTAAGGAGAAATGTTGCAGTGGATGTTGCTTGGGTTACCTTACCTACCAACCACACTCTGCAACTACCTTTTTTTTGGCAGCATGAAATCGGTCATAGAGAGATACAGCGATGCCAAAGGGGAAGCCAGTTCAGAAAATGATCCCGCTTCAGAAATTCAGGTACTCCTTTTTTGTTACTCCTCCCTATGGATTTCAACGAGGAATTCAGGGACCCAATTCTGTAATTGAGTAAAGAGTAGGCAAAACAAGTAATATACTACAGCATAGAGACTATTACTCGGTGCTTTTGCTAATGTTAGGCTATTACAACTTCATTAACATTTCTCAACTTTTGATTCCTCTCAAGCTGATCCTGATTTCATATCGGACTTGCAGAGCATAAATACAACACATCATATGTTGAAGTAGGGTTTGCTATAAACACACATGTCATGCAACGTGATCATCAGATTACATGCGTGATGTTGCATGTTCTTTTTCAAGAATCCGTTCTAGACTAGATAACATATTAATCCAAAAACAAAATACTTGTTTTCTCAGTTTCAATCACCTGAAAAACCATTTCTACTATATTCTAGTTCTGGCAAAAGGAGGCTGCGATTCTAAAGCGACAGCTACATAACTTGCAAGAAAACCACCGGTATGTTTTGCATCCTCTGAGTTCTTCAAACACTCTTGAACATGGAATGATGTACTAAAATGCAAAATGATAACATATCCAAAAGTATCCTACCACCTTCATAGGAATGGTTGATAGTAATAATAACAAAAAAGCCAAATGGATTAAGAGTGTTTTTCAACCTCTTAAGGTTTTACCAGGATGCTGGATGTTTTCCCCAAAGAATCACCATTGTATCTCTACCACCTCCAGAGTTATATACATCCACACATTTAAACCATCCATAAGAAGGAAATAACCAAACACTTTCACACTCCCCATCTTTTTCTTGTTTTGTTTTGGTGAATTAGGAAATGTATATAGTAACTCTGGAAAAGTATGCATATTCAGAAGAGCTTGTACTTGACAGGCAAATGATGGGGGAGGAGCTCTCTGGACTAAGTGTAGAAGCTTTACAGAATTTGGAAAATCAGCTTGAATTAAGCCTTCGTGGCGTTCGAATGAAAAAGGTTTTGTTGCTGTGACAAATAAGTCAACTTTTGGTACCATTTAGAAGAAGTAATGGATTTACTCTATCTACTCTCTTCTTGCCTTTTGCAGGATCAAATGTTAATCGAAGAAATACAAGTACTCAACCGAGAGGTGGGACTATGGTTACTGTAATATAGGTTTTAGACATTTTCCACAGTGTTGGTAAGCACAATGCTGATTCTTATTTATTCGGTTGCAGGGGAATCTCGTGCACCAAGAGAATTTAGACCTCCACAAGAAAGTAAACCTAATGCACCAACAGAACAAGGAACTACATGAAAAGGTACCTTTGGGTTTTAGGAAGTAACTGGGAGCCAAGATTATCTTTACATTGCTAGAACATTTTGTTCTTATCTGAAGATAATATGTCGTTATTCCAGGTTTCAGAGGTTGAGGGTGTGAAAATCACAAACAAGAATTTTCTTCTCACAAATGGTCTAGACATGAGAGATAACTCGAGCGAACATGTCCATCTTCAGCTCAGCCAACCGCAGCCTGATGAGACGCATGCAAAAGCTATCCAACTCAACTATTTTTCCTTCATTGCATGATGATATATATTCGGTGTGCCGACACACTTATGTTGACCTCATCGGAATCATATCTCAATTAACTGTATCAGTTTGCAATCCCTTTCTATCAAACACCAGCTTTGAACCTTTTTAAATGTTCTTCTCTCTGCAAAGAACCTTGGTTTGGCGTTTAAGCATGTACTTTGCAGGATAAAGGAGTGTAGTGTTTTAACATAAAGTTTGTCTGTGTTATTCAAGAGGACTAATACTTTCCTTGATTTGTGACTTGTGATGATATGGTAAAGCAAATTGTTTTTTTTTTTGACATTTTTTTTTTGGAACATAGTAAAGCACATTGTATGAGTTTTGGAATTGTAGAACATACCACTAAAAGTCATCTCTAATTTAGTAAAACTCCATACCTTGGACGTATTATGCAATGTGCCTGAAACTAAAGATGATTGAACTTTATGGTGTCAAAGAAGCGGTTACTGTGGTGGTGAGGCTAAATAGTACCATTTTCGGCTAATGTATAAAACGAGACGAAGGTTTAAGACTTTAAGTCAAGAAATTAATCAAAGTCATCATATGCTTTGAAAAGTGTAAGAATGTGCGATTTCTAAACAAGTGGATTGCTAGTTCTATATCGAACTGATGAAGTAAAAGCATACTTGAATTTTATTATTTTTCTGGTGATCTCATAATTATTCCTTATTATTACAATAAGTTCTCACTCTTACGAAACCTTTACGATACAAGTCATTTATCTCATATCGCTTCATCGTGATCGTGTCTTCAAGGATATTAGTTGAAATTGACACCATACTTAGGCTGTAGATTCGGAAGAAAAAGTCCCCAAAACTTCTCAATCTCGGGACCCTGCTTCGAATTCTCATCGAACATAGCAAATATATAAGTCTCTATAGCTCTCCCTGGCCTTCTCGGAGATCCATTTTTCACAGTTTGTATCAAATTGTTCACATAAGTCCTCGCATTCTCCACACTCGTCGCGGCTCCTCCCGAGGTCGGCCAACCACTCTCGGAAACCACGATCTCCAATGATCCACCTCCAGCTTTCTCTAATGATGCGTAAACAGTGTCTAAGATTGCGTGGAAGAGGTTTCGGTATTGGTTTTGTCCGTCATTGACTACAGTGGACGGTGCGGTGAACAAAGTGTAGTCTAAACGGATGTCTCTCATGTTTCCCGTATAGCTGAAGTAAGGGTAGAGATTCACGAGCAGAGGAGATTGCTTGCTCGCCAAGAAACCTATCACCGGTGCGATAAAGTTCCTAAATTCCGGTGTGAACGTCCCACTTGACGGTGGAAACCCGGAAATTCCTCTGGTGTCTATAGCCGTCGAGACCTTGATCCCAAGGCTTGAAACTGCTCTCTCTATGTTCTGCATCGCAGGGAGGACAAACCTGGCGGCTTGGTCCGAGGGTTGTACCTCGTTCCCGACCGATATGTAGCGGAATCTGACATTGTTTGCATAGTTACGGACGTTGTTGCGGACCCACGTGTCGGCTTCCGCTTGGCTGGAGGCGAGACGCTGGAGATCAGGGTTTGGAACATCGAGCACGAGCTCGATATTGGAGCCGCGGAGAGCGTTGAGAGCCTCCTGGTTGGGATCGTACAGCCGCATCCGCCGGATGTTCCGTTCTCGGTAAAGAGCCACGACTTCCGACGCAGGACGCAGGTTGTTTCCATTTCTCCCGTAGCACACTCCGATTTGCCCAACTTAAATTTCAAAATAAGAATTATTAGTGAAAAGAATAAATTGTAATCAAATTCTGAAATGAATTCTAAAGAGACTAATGTGATATTATCAATAGATTAAAAGAAAATAGAACCTGCCGTGTCGAAGAAGGAAGCCATTAGGAAGCTGAGAAGAAGCAGTAACAGTGGTTTTGAGGTTAAGAAACTCGATCCATTAGAGATCGCCATGAAATAACAATCAAAGATGATTTTAAGATATGTATCAATGTTATGCTTGCAACTTTGTATATTTAAATCGTAAAATTTTGCGCTAATTTATAGAGGGAATGGAGGGATTCAAGTCAATGAAATGAAACAAAGTCATCGCGTCATATCATCATAGTTTTGGAATGTTATATATTAAATCACCGTTCATGAATATCTCTCTAAACCTATGCTTTGAAAAGTCTAAGAATGTGAGTTTTCTATACACGTAGCTTTCAATAGGCCTAACTAGCTAAACACTAAAATTTTCATGTTAATTGGAACGAATCCTCCATTCCATAGCCCCAAAATCAAATACCCAATCTCAAATATTCAATGGATACTATAACGTATGTTTGGCCAGATCAAACTATATACAATCTTAAGATATTAATTGAATGTTCTTTATAATCAGAATTATGAATCACTAATCTTTCAGACCAAAGTTTTCTAAATAGTTGATCCCTATACACACCGCAGCAAAGTCTAAAAATTCATTAAATGCTACGAGAACTCGCATTTTGGAATCATGGTACAAGCCGTTAATCACACGTCGATCGTGGACCATTGAAATTTTATTGTTACGTCACTAGACCAACTGGCCAACATCAATTATGATAATTAGATGACTTACGTTACTAATTATTTTTTTTTTAACCTGCGATGTGTGAATTCTGACATTAACCTGAAATGATAGTTCTTCCAGTCCATCTCAACCTTAATCTCACTATATAATCAACAATATACATACACCCTAATTCATTCAAAATAACATTATACTAAATTTCGTAGACTCCAAATCAAAACCAATTAATTATAGTGATTGAAATGATAACTGTGTCTCTTGTATATTACTTTAAATCCTCCTAACTTCCGATGAAGATCCGAACATAGTTCTTGAAAGGGAACCATCAATGACAATTTAAATTACGTTAATCAATTGCTAAATTGGAAAACCTTAAGTTAATTGAAACATTCTGATGCTCAAAAGGTAGAAATACGACATTTCTCTGTGTACTTTCAAGTGTAATATTGTAGAAAATACTATGGATTGGCCATTAAAAAGGTAGTGGCTATAAGCCTAAAACTTGACCGGAAATTTTCTTACTTCAAAACTGATACCCAATTTTCTTGTCATAACACATTTACAAGTACGATTACATAGTAATACTGCTTTCTTAAACCGTTTAACAGTTGAAGCGAATATTCTTATATACATAATGTCTTCGTCGTCTTAATTAAATAATATTCTTTTGCATGTGTGAAATACTACAATGTGTTCTCTATATCAACTATCAAGTCGTTTGGCGAAAAAAAGAAAAGAAAATCAACTATCAAGTCGTAGTAATCAGTAATCTTTTTAACAAAAAAAAAGTAATCAGTAATCTCATCGTAGCTGCCTATAAAATCAATATAAGAAAACAAAAATGTTTACAAGATAGACCTCAGACCACAAGATTGAGTTTGGGACTATAGACCGAAGATCACATTCATAAAGGGACGTGTCTTGCGTAGAATAGTAGAAGCGTTGTGTAGTGATACTAATAGCCAAAGAAAATTCTCGGTGTCGAGTTCAGTACGACGACAAAAATAGACACCGACAAAAATAGACCAATGGTGATGGCTTTTTGGTATAGTGTTGGTGATGGCCTCATTTCCCCCTTATGGGCTTTTGGCATTTTTTTCCACTTTAGTTATAGTCACTTTTTGTTGTTTAGCCCATCTATGTACATTTTAGCCCGTTTTGTGAATACCATGAAAACTCAGAAAATTTCCGAAAACTAATTAGAGAAAAAACAAATGTTAGTGGGCCTGTAACATCGAAAGTATTTGTAAGAATTCAGGGAAAGTATTTGTAGATCGTTTGTTGGATGGGCCTGTAAAATGTCAAATAAGGCCCACTTTTGGCAATACTTGAGGCGTAAGTTATATAAAGATGTTACTTACCGATTTCGATCTCCAACCCTAGGTTAAGCCACCCTCTTCCTCCACCAGTCTCGTCTGCCTTCTTCCGCATCTCTCTAAGTTTTAATCCGTTAAAAACATGGATGATTCCTCCAAAAGTCGGTTCTACGGTAGGATCTATCTCTATCTCTTCCTCGATATTGTTTATTGCAATTACGTGTTTTAATTCGTTTATTAACTTATTCGATTTGTGATCGTCCTTCTCATTGAAGCGTTAGAGTTGTTGTTCTTTAGTTGTTGATCGATGATATCTGTGATTAAAAACTAGATTAGATCTGATGATTAAGTGTTCACCAGTTTTAGATTCGTGGGAATTTCATATGATCGATCTATCGTAGTAACTTAGCGGATCTAATCGATATGTCATCGTAAATTAATGGATCTAACAAGTTTTGTTTGTCATAATTGCTTACACGTTTCCTTTTTAATAAAACTTGGCAGGGGCGAAAACAATTGTCTTCTGGCAATTCGAGGAATGCCCGATCCCTGATGACATAATTTCTGATGAAGTCGAAGCGAACATCTCAAGTGCCATTAGGGATATGGGTTATTATGGCCCGTTAACCGTGAGGGCTTATGGTGATATCTACAAGTTGCAGAGGGAATGTTGTGGATTTCTTATCTTTTACGCAACCTCGGGTGAGAATTCCTAACACACTTTTTTCTTCTTCTTCTTTTTCTTCTTCTTTTTACTAATCCTTACTTTGGTTTCCGGTGCTAAAGAAACGACACAGGACAAGATTTTAGTGGACTTACTTGGCCAAGCAGTTTTTAGGTCTCGTGATAGTCCACTTAATTTGATGCTGATCCTCGGAGACATCTCGAGACACGCAGGGTTATTGAGGGCTATTCGCGTTTTGGTTTCGCATGGAAACTTCAATGTTATCTTAACACAGCCTCAAGAGGTGGCATTTGGACAGCTACCTGATGGTGTTGATACAGTGTGGCTTTGGGAAAGCCTAGCAGTTCAAGCAAGGATGGTGAGTCGGGATAGTGGACCTGCAGTGTCAACCGAGGAGCTATCAGTGAGTAGGAATGATATCATCTCATGCAATTTCGTGAAAGAAAACCTCTTGACATTGCCACCGCACGGCCACCCCCGTTAATTAGTAGAAAGAAGAAGTCCGAAGGTCAGTAGAAATTTTTTTAACGGTCCATCTGTTGAGATTAAAATCTGTGTAAAATGTCTTCGTGCCCTTGTTTCTGTCACCCATCATCTATATACGAAGCCGAGTTATTTTTGCATGTGCAATTAATTAATGAGCTAGGTCAATTAATTTTTGAGCTTCGTTATCTTATGAAGGCAAATTTACGCAAATTGTGGATTTCGAAATCTTTTTGGATTCATTTTTGTATGGATCAATTTTTAAAATGGCATCCACCCAAAATGGGTGATTTGCAAAAAAAAAGTACGTCTGAGAAGAGAGGGACGTCGAGTGACGTAACTTCGTTTTTATCCAAGTAAATTGTAAATGCTCCGAACAAAACTGAGATCATGTCTCTGTAAATCAAAACCCCCGGAGGAAAACGACGCGTGTGCAATTTACACGACCTGTCAGGAAAAGAAATCAAAAGCTAGCTTGCGATTTTGTGATTGTAACAGTGTCCAAAAGAGAAGATGTGTCACACAAAAAAGTAAAAGGAAGAAGAAGAGCGTGCACTTCAAACAAAGGCTAAACATGTATTACATAAAATATGGCTTTATTTATCTATTTTAGTGCTAGTTTGTTAACTTTTTAAAAAAACTTTGATTATAGAGAAGATTAATGAGTCATATTTCCCCTAAATAAATCGTTTTGTTTTTTGGATATCCTTATTGCCCTAATATCTCCCCTCTTATTATATCTCTTGTCTCCCCTTGTATCTTCGTCTTCTTTATTTATTATCTCCCTCTGATAATTTCCATGGCCGAAACGTCAAAGACGGCAGTCTTCTGGGACATGGTTGATTGCCAAATCCCCGATGGTCTCAATACTGTTGTTGTTTCGCAGAACATTAGATCGGCTCTTGAGAATTTGAATTATCGTGGTACGTCGTCCATCTATGCTTATGGCGATATGAATCAGATCAAGGCTGGCCTTGAAAACACCAGATTCGTGGTCAAACAGCATAAACCCGCAGGTGAATACCTTATACTCTCTAACAGTACTCTTTCTCTCTTACCTATTATTCCGTATCGTTGATCTGGGGTTATATATCGTTTCACTAGAAGAAGCGCATAAGGAGTATCTTGGTACAACATCCATCTGCGATACGGAAGACCTTGTATCACCTGATATCGTGGTCAATGACACACCCTTAGGTGAAATTTCCTTTAAAACTAAGTAGTACTCTTTCTCTTTCACTTTATATGTCTTATGTATCTTGATCTGCGTTTTTTTATGTATATGGTTTCAGGAGATAAACATGCGAGACTTGAGAAGATTATAATAGACTCTTTTTCCTGGGCACTTGACAATCCTACAGCAGTAAATTTGATGTTTATCCTGGGAGACATCTCAAGCGACCATGTGTTCATAAGTGCTTTATACAATTTAGATGCGGCAAAATACAAAGTTCTCTTAGCACAGCCTGCATTCGCATCAAAAGCTCCTCCTGTTGTGCGTGCAAAATGGCTTTGGGAATGCCTATCAGCTGGAGGAGACCCTATTGTTGACGACCAAACCGAAAGCGATGATTCCCAATTCGAATACGTAAGCGATATGAACCAATTGGATGACCAAATCGAAAGCTCACAACGTCTTCACAATACTTCTTAGTGTAGCCGGATCCCAAAACGCTTTTTTGCTACTGGAATATTAGTTTGTACTTTGGTTGACCTTACTGCTGGGGGTAGCCAAATCCCACTCCCATGTGGCCTTCTTTCTGTTGGATCACTAGTTTGTACCGTGGTTGCTTTCTTCCTCGACCTTTAATTAGTCTTTTGTATGGCCAAGGCTCTAGCTAGTTTGTATTGTGATGATTGCTTGCTTTTGTGGCTGTCTATGCTCAGCCTAACATTTCTCTTTTAATTAAAGCTTTCTGTTTATTTTTACGCTAGCATAAAAACTCTGATCTACTTTTTTAAACTCACAACCAGTGTTCTCTTTTCTCCAGTTTTTTTTTATGCACACAACCAAACCAATCCCTGATTCATGTGTCTCACTTTCCCAGTTTTGCATAAACTCATAACCAGTGTTTTTTCCTCGTCGGGATTTATAATCACAAATTTGCACTAAAACTATATTGAAACATATATAAAAATAAGGACAAATTGATCAAAGCCTGAGAGAGAGTAGAGAGAAGAACACTAAGCGATTCTTTCAAAGAGCAATGAACCCGTATATATTCACTAGCCTGTTCTGATATATAATATATTAATATTAAATATTCACTAACATAGCTCAGACACAAAATAGTCCAGACATTGGTTTTCCAGCTTTTAAATTTTCTTCTTTGATTTATTATGCTGAATAAAATCAAGGAATGTATATTTTAAAAACTTCTCTCACTATATTGAATGATAGCGTTAAAAATTATAAAAATCATAGTTATGGCTCATTATTCCTTATTATTACAACAAGTTCCCACTTTTTAAATACCCTTACAGAAAAAGCCCATAAGTCCCATCTTCTTCAAGAAGTCTCTCCAAGGATTAGTTGAAATTAACTTCATACTTAGGCTGTCGATCCGGATGAAACAGTCCCCAAAACTTCTCAAACGCAGGTTCCTTCTTATTCTCATCAAACATAGCGAATATATAAGTTTCTATAGCTTTCCCTGGCCTTCTCGGTGATCCATTCTTCACATGTTGTATCAAATTGTTAACATAAGTCTTTGCGTTTTCCACACTCGTCCCGACTCCTCCCTCTGTGGGCCAACCGCTCTCCGACACCACGATTTCCAACGATCCTCCGCCCGATTTCTCCAATGCTGCATAAACCGAGTCAAGATTTGCGTCGAATAGGTTTTGGTATGAGTACGGATCATCAGCAACAGTGGACTGAGCGGTGAAAAGGGCATAGTCTAGAGGGACCTTGGCCGTGTCTCCCATGTAGCTGAAGTAAGGATAGAGATTCACGAGCAAAGGAGATTGCTTGCTCATCAAGAAACCTATCACTGGTTCGAGAAAGCTCTTATACTCATCCGTGAACCTTCCCTGAGACGGAGGAAATGTATCTGTAGTGGTGTCAGTGGCTATAGCTGTAGAGACCTTGACTCCAAGCCCTGCTCCAGAAACTGCTTTCTCGATGTTTTGCATTGCTTGTAAGAGAACACCCCCAGCTGAGGGTTTCACCTCATTTCCGACGTTGATGTACCGGAATCTGACACCGTCGGTGTAGCTCTGTACGTTTTCTTGAACCCACTTGTCGGCCTCCGTTTGGCTGGAGGCGAGACGTTCAAGATCTGAACTAGGAACGTCGAGGATGAGCTCTATGTTAGAGTCACGGAGAGCGGCAAGAGCGTCTGGGTCAGGGCCGTAGAGCCGCATTCGCTGAATATTCTGTTGCTTGTAAAGAGCCACAACGTCCGATGGACTTGGCAAGGTTTCGCCTAGCATCCCGTAGCATACTCCGATTTGTCCAGCTTCATTATTTTCCAAAATAAGAATCATTAATAAAAATATATTGAATCAATTTATGTAGATGGAGATAATGATTAATAAGATGTTACAGTAGCTTAAAAGATGAATGAACCTGTGGTGTTGAAGAAGGAAGCTATCACAAGGCTGAGAAGAATCATCAGCATTGGTGGTGATCCTAAGATCCTTGATTCAGACATTTTCTTGATTTTTCTATTATACTCTGAAAATTTCTATGTTTAAATCATATCATTTACCGCCTAATTTATAGAGCCAAGCATGGGGTGCAAGTCAGTCAATGAATGAAATCAAACTAAGAGTCAACGATCTATCAATATAATCTGTTTTGTTATTTTTCACCTTAATCACCATTAATTTACAAATATCTCTCTAAATCTAAGCTTTGAAAAGTCTAACAATATGAGTTTTCTACACAAGTAGATATCAATAGGGTTTAACTAGCTCAAGATACGATTGTTTAATATGATGAATCGCCCAAACCAAAAAATATTTGGTTTTAAAATATTTAATCTAAATTATAGATTGATTGTTATAATTCTTTTTGGTAATAGGTTGGATATATCATTGGTAATATTTCCCGTTAATCGTACGTCAAACGTGAACCAATTAATACGTAGTTAGACCCACAAGCCAAGTTGAATTATGGTTATAGATTGACTATTGTTCACATTAAACTTCAAGATTGTAATGACTTTAGCGTCTAACGTGTTTAAGGTGCCATGGATGGTTCCAAGTACCACTGTGAACACATATCATCTAATCAGAATTGAACTTCGCTTGTGGGTCTACCGACGTATTTAGTGGTTCTTCATGATCTCAGATTGACGATCTTGTTCTTCATGATCTCAGCCTTGTAAAACACGGTTCGTATTTAATTTATTTCTACCCTAAGCTTGTGACTTTATATTGTCGATTTTTTCTTCTTGATGAACTATTTGACATTTTTGGATTTATATATCAACCATTAAACCAAAAAAAGAAAAAGAATTGTGTCGATAATTTTTCTTTCAACTAATTTGGTTCAGTAAAACACAAGGTGCATATAAAATCCACGATGAATATGGATTTTTTCTTGTTTATTTTTCTATACAGAAGAAAATATCAAATTACAAATGTTTAGCCGGTGAAATAAATTGTTGTAGCGTTAGAGATATATCGAAAATAATTAATATCAAGTCCATCAACAACACGGCATCTATTTTTGTCGTCCAACTGAAATAGACCTTTAGAAGAATTTTCCTCGGTTTTGAATATCACACTATTCACACACTACACAAATACACAAAACACGTCCCTTCATGATTGTGATCTCATGGTCTAGTACCCAACTCACCCTTCGTAGTTTGTGGTCTGAATTTTGTACTACTTTTTTTTTTGTTCTTACTGATTTTCTAACCTGCTATGCTGTAAGAAATTATTTAAACTTGGGTTGAAATAACTAATTTTGTATAAATTTCAAGAGTCTGATTGATACGACTTCGTTTTTAAATACATGAAGTATAATTTTACTTGTAATTGATAAAGTCACCATTACAAAGTACAAACACGTTAGACACTAAAGTCGTTATTTATTGAAGTCATTACTTGTATTGATAAGTCATTACAGTATCTCCAACTTTATTTCCTGTATAATGATATACCAATATCTATATCTTTTTCAAATATAAAATATACCAATCCTTGGTTAGAATATTGGTTCGGTTCAACCAAAGGTAATAGCGTACTTAGGCTGCTTGTTCGGATAGAACAATCCCCAAAACTTCTCAACGTAAGGAGGAGTCGGCTTCTTATCCTCGTCATACATGGCAAATATATATGTCTCGATTTCTCTCCCCGGTCTCTTCGGTGTCCCATTCTTCACATGATTAATCAACTTATTGTTATAAATTCCCGCATTCTGTATATTTGTATCGATTCCTCCTCCCGTTGGCCATCCGGTCTCCGCCACAACTAATTCCAACGATCCGCCACCGGATCTCTCTAGAGCCGAGTACATCGCATCGAGCATCGCATCAAATAAGTTTTGGTAAGATCTCGGAGGGTCCGAAACGATTCCCGGAGGAGCCGTAAAGAGAGCGTAATCGAGTCGGATTTGATTTTTGTTTCCCGCGTAGCTGAAGTAAGTGTAGAGGTTTAAGAGTAAAGGAGAGTTCTTGCTTACCAAGAAACGTATGATTGGTTCCATTACCACCATAACGTCTCCCCTAAACGAACCTTTCGATGGTGGATAAGACTCTCCGAGCACTCCCATGTCTACCGCCGTGGATACCTGTTAAAATCCGCACATTTAAAATAAAACAGAGTTCAAATTTCGATTGTTGTGAAAAAAAACAGAGAGAAAAAAAGTCAAACGTAACTAAGTTCTTAAAACAATATTTACATTAAAACATTGAATATTTCCATTTTTAATAAGATAAGTTTGCAGAATGTGAACTTAAAAATAAATCTTGACTAATGTTGGTGCCAAAAGGAAAAGGATTGAAGTTTTTGATTCATTTGCTAAATGATTATGTTTTTATTGTGAAAATATATAAATCGATATATATGAGTAATAACAATACCTTGATACGACCACCTAGTCCGGCTGCTAAAACCGCCCGGTCAATGTTTATCATGGCCGGGACTAGGAACTGTGCATAAGAGTCAGAGATCTTAACTTCGTTCCCAACAGATATGTAACGGAACCTGACGCCATTCACGTAGTTCATGACGTTGGTTTGGACCCACGTGTTAGCTTGTGATTGGCTCGAGGCCACGCTCTGTAGATAAGAGTTGGGAAGGCCCAGCGTTACCTCGATGTTGGATCCACGTAGGGCATCTAGAACGTCGTGGTCTGGAGTGTACAGCCTAACTCGTCGGATGTTTTTCTGCTTGAAGAGCTCGACGGTTTCTGCCGCCGAAGGGAGGTTGTCGCCGTTTCTTCCGTAGCAAACCCCGACTTGTCCAACTGTTAAATATTAAATCCAATATATAATACATCATCATTCATCACATATGGCATGAATATTTCATGAGAGAATTAATAATGTGTTATTGTTATTAATCATAAAATTAACATATCTAATCATTTGAATAATTTTCGTTTTAAAGCTAGATAATAGGAAAAAAAAAGGTCTCAAAAGTTCAAGATCGTGACATGGTTTGATTACTCTATGTCAGAGTGATATTATAATATAATCATATATGTTATAGTTTCTACATAAATAATGAAATAAAGAGATATTAGTGACCTGCTGGAATTGTATTGGCGAAGAATAGACCGAGAAGAAGGGTCAAGGACGCCAAGAATCGGAGATCCATCGTTAGGTTAAGAAACAGATGTGACCTAATGATTTTTTAGACAATTAAGTGAGGTGGAAATCATGTATTGTTATGACATTGATCTTAGCAAACATACGTATATATAGTAAATTCTAGAGAAAGAACATAAATATATAACCAAATGTGAAATGTCAATATGAAATATACGGAATTAGGCAACAAGATAAAGTCTGAGTTGGTAATCTCTGAATAATTAATAAAATGGTATCTACATTATCAGAGACAGACTTGATGGTACTCACAAGTCAAACAAAGCGTTAAGGACTTTAATTCAGACAAAATCAAATGCTAGTTGGGCTAACTAAAGCTACAACTAATACTAATGGGCCTTAAACGAAATGAGCCCAACAAAGAACCTGAGACAAATCTGAGCCCACTGGAAAGCTAAAACGGAAATCGAAGCTTAAACCAGCTAAACCGAAATAAATTAAATGAATTCGTTTTTTCATCTCCGAAAAAGTCAAAAGATTAAACCAACTAAAACCGAAATTGTCATATGCGCGTAATTTCTTCGCAACATTTTGACCGAACAACTTCAAAATCCAACGAACGGACGGTCAGGATTGTCCGATCAACATCGTCTTCTTCTTCTCAGCAAGAGAGATCAGTCCTTAACGCCGGCTAGATCAAAAATCAACCACTCCCTCTCTCGTGCTGACCACGCTCCGATTCTCCATTTCTTTCCCTTTTGACTTTTCACTTCAATTTTTCAGTATCAGATCTCGACGATGGCTACACAAATCTCTCAGCTTGCTTGTTTCTCATCCACCAATCGCCAATTTCACTTCCAGAGCCGATCGTTTCCATGCCCTAGGATTCGTTCCCAGGTAAACTGCTCGATATCGCGTTAAAATGACTTAGAATTTATTCATCTCGATTTGATTACGTCCATGCCCAATACTCTATTTGTTCTACTTCCCTGATTACTCTCAAAAAGTTGTGAGCTTGATTGATTTTAGTCGTAATCGAATACCAGCTTTTGTTTTCTAGAAATGATTCTTCTTGGGCATGACAAATGATTCTTCTTTTGAATTGCTTCTCTGTTTTCTCTGGCTGAGTTGGTTGGGAATGTACCTTGTGGTAAAAATTAACCTTTTTGTTTGTTCTTACATTTTGTGACAAAGTTCCGGATTGCTTGAAACAATCATATCCAGCTCTTTGGTTGTCTCTGTGTGCTAAGTATCCTTTGTTGAGTTCTCTTCTAGATTTTTTGGGATTGATAGTGTCACCACTAGTGGCTAATTTGCTTAAAAATGGTACAGTCTTTTGTAGTTAGAAGCGTTGATGGGAATAGCTCTGAAACACCAGCTTCTCTAAGCTATACAGCTGAGGTTTCAAAACCTATTGTTGAGAAAACATCGAAACCGTATTCCTCTGTTGATGAAACTGCTACCGATAAAGATATTATCACAGAGCCAGTAGAAGAACATGTTGCCACACAACCAATTAGAGCAGCAAAGATCCACGACTTCTGTTTTGGCATTCCTTATGGTACTACTTTGTGACTCTCAAACTTAGTTTCAAATCCTAGCATTTCTGAGCTGCTTTTTTAATAAAAAAAATTCTGCTTTCCATGTTCTTCATTTCCAATATGAGAGTGATTATTGTCTGGTAACTCACTGGTGTTAATTATGCCTCATAAACGATACTTTGTCAGGTGGTCTCGTTATCAGTGGAGGGCTTCTTGGATTTGCGTTTTCACGAAATCTTACGAGCTTAAGTACTGGTGTCCTCTATGGTGGTGGCCTTCTAGCCCTTAGTACATTGAGCTTAAAGATTTGGCGACAGGGAAAGTCTAGTTTCCCTTATATACTAGGACAAGCAGGTAATCTTCATTTATTGTCTGCAGGAACAATAGCGGATGTTTTCTTATCACTGCTTTCATTTGTAATTCATTTCATCAAGAGATTACTGGTATCTTACTCATGATAAGTGGATATGAAAATCCAGATAAGTAGTTGTAGTATACTGTGTCATGCTATGAAGTGGTCATCTCTGAACCAAGATCATTATCTGCCCATAATTCTCTATAAGAAGTGTTCCTTTGATCTATGAAAGCATTCGTACTTACTCATTTTTCAAAACCTGAAATTGCAGTGCTGTCAGCTGTCGTCTTCTGGAGGAACTTCACAGCTTATTCGATGGTATTCATTAAATTTGTGATCATGCTGATTGTTTATTTTTGCTTGCTTGACTTCAACTGAATAATGTTGTACTTATGCAGACTAAGAAGCTGTTTCCGGCCGGGCTTTTTGCTGTCATCAGGTAAGAAATACTTTTTGTGATCTACAAAAGACTCTGATGATCTTTCGTGGATTCATGTAACCATGTGTTTACGTCTTTTTATTTGCAGTGCTTGCATGTTGTGTTTCTATTCCTATGTGGTGCTCTCTGGAGGAAACCCACCTCCAAAGAAATTGAAACCATCTGCTACTAGTCCTTCTCCTTCATACTGAAGAGACTTCACATAGGTTAGATTTAAAAAAATGGAGATCTTCTCTTTTGATAACTATGGTGTGTTGGATTATTACTGGTGTAATTTTATACTCTTTACGAATTGATATACTTGTTTTGTTTGTGACCTGTTCTTTCCAGTGTCATAATCTAAAGTTTTGTTTTTCTTACTTGTGAGATATGCTTTGATTGTCCATATTGTAGTATAATACTAATGAAAAAAAAAGATTAAAAGAAGAGCCAAATCACAGTCAAAGGGCAATAGCATTTAAGATTGAAAAAAAAACTTGAAAACTAGACTAAAATAAAAGTAACATAGAAAAGTTATTGCTAGCTCAATGCTGAAACAATAATAAGAAAATATATCTATTTTCAATGCTTCCATCACTTAAACAGTGAGTAAACTTGGGAAATAAGCGATAGAAATCCCTCTATGCTTGAATTTAAAAGCTAAAGCATAAGAATTTTGTTCCGGATCATGTATTATTAAAGTATGGCCAATTATCTTCCAACTATGAAGCAAAATCTTATTTTTCTGAAATGTTGTGATTGTTTGTGTTGGCAAATTCGGGTCGTGGCGAAACCAAATGGAAGTTCTATTCAAATCAATAGAATACGTCTTCTCCCATTTTTTGCCAGAGTTTAATGACCATATCTCTTGTTTCATGTCCTTCCCCTCTGATATACACAAACGGTCCTTCATGTTGCTTATAGTAACTTCACCATCAGTTGTAAATGGTATTTTCATACTCACTTCAAAAGTTTCATTGGAAAGATCAAAACACACTATATGAATTTTCGAATTGGTAACTGTGCTTAGCCAATGAAGTGATCCATCTACGTATGTTGGATTATCACAATAATCTACTTCATAGGGAGAACCAGTCACGTTCCTCCAAGTGTTAGTATTAAAAGAGAAAACCTCGCATGTGGTTGTGTTGTCTAATTCCAACTCTTTCGAATTATATAACCATACCAACTTATATACTCCATTTTTATTGTCTCTTCCCAATCCAAGCAAGGGGAAAGCTATACGTCCATCGGGAGCTAGACAAAAATAAAAGAGTTGAAAAACTAACAATTCAAAACCAACGAAATTACTAAAAAGTTGAAAAAGAAATTCAATATAAAAAAATTCTAAACAAGAAAATCCTAATATGGATCTTCGAATAAAACTTACTGAGTTCCATGAACATAAATTGATAAAGTGAACTTACCACGTCGAGTGTCCAAATGTTCAACAAGATTTTGAAACCTTGCCAAGGGAAGACTCCGATACCATTTTATCGAAGGATTGATCACATAAATCCATCGCATGAAACCGTACATGCATATTAGACCATCGCAACTCTTAGTGACTAAAGCAAACGATTTATCGCATAAAGGATAATAAGAGCGACTCTTCACGAAAACCGATGACTTCAACGTTAATGTGTTTACACAAACTTTAGTGGGTGCGTTCCAATAGTTACGATTTGTCTGGACAAAGAGGATATTCGGATCATGAGATCGCTGACTAAACATCATCTGTCTCTCCTTAAAATATTGAGACATCATCGTTAATTTCCATTCTTTTGATACACATTTGAATTTAATGAGAGATTCAACCGGAAGCTTCTCTAGAATCTTTTCCACAAGATGGTGAGGTAACATTATAGTTGGCCTTTTAATCCCATTAACTTCTCTCTCCCACACCCCAAGTTTAGGTTTATGGTTTCCTCTCTCTTGATCTTCCATTGATATAGTTTTTTTGTTTTGTTATGCGCTTGATGAAACTTATGTTTGCGTTTTTTTTGGTCATTAGTCAAACTTCTTATGCTTGAGTATATATATACAAGATACATGATTTGGAATCATGCTGAGTAAAGGAAATAATCTAGGAGTGTTTTATCTTCTATGCATATCATTATATATATATTATTAAATGAGAAAGTTTATATTTTTTCCAATCATCTAATACCATATTTTGTCTTAATTACTTTAGAAAAAAAAATCTAAATTTCAATTCTTATATGGATATAAATTGTGTATCAGCTTTCTTATTTCAATGAGAGAGTTTATTTTATATTTATATTGAAATTTATATTTCCTTCTCATTTTGTAAGAAAAAGAATCATAAAATTTATATTCTTTGTAGAGATATACATACTTTGCACAAAAAGAAAATACAGATATACATACTTAGTTTGTCACTTAAAAATAACAAGTGGTGACAAGATTTTGAAGAAAGAACAAAGAGGACTATCATACTTTGCGCAAAAAAAAAAAAAAAAATATATATATATATATATATATATATATGTATTAAGCTCTACAGAAAATCTAGAGACAATGATTAAAATTTAAAAACAGATGTGCCAAAGGCTTAATTTAAGATTTTCCCTTTCGTTTAACCGAGTACAAAAACCTCCACAAGGATTACAACTAATACCACTGGGCCTTAAACGAATGAGCCCAACAAAGAACTTGAGACTAATCTGAGCCCATTTGAAACCTAAACGGCAAGCGGAGCCTAGACCAACTAAACCGAAGAATTTAGGCTCAACGCCAAACACCCACCCAAAAGGTCAAAAATAAACCGAAATTTGACCGAACGCCGGGCTGGATCAAAAATCAACGGCTCCTCCATCTCTCTCGCTCCTATATCGATTCTCCATTTCTCTATCCCTTAGACGATGGCTGCGAAAAGCTCAAAGCTCAAAGCTCAAAGCTCAAAGCTCAAAGCTTGCTTGTTTTCTCCTCCACCAACCGCTAATTTCACTACCAGACCCGATCGTTTAAGTTTCGCCCCAGGTAAACTGCTCGAGTATAACCTCAATCAGAGACATTAGATTTCTTCTTCTCGATTTGGCTACGATGATGCCCATTACTCAATTTTATGATTGCTGTCAAAAAGTTACGAGCTTGATTGCTTTTAGTCGTCGTACTCGACATTAGCTTTTGTTTGTTAGAAATGCTTCTTCTTGGGTTGGGTTGGAACTTGAATTGCTTCCCGCCTCCCTGGCTGAATTGGTAGGGAACGTGAATGAATTTACCTTACATTGTGATAAAGTATTAGATAGTTCGATCTTTTTTTTTTACCTTTATACCCAGTTCTCTAGGTGTGCTTAGAATCATTTGTTGAGCTGTCTTCTAGTTCTTTTGGGACTGATAGTGTCGCCACAAGTGGCTAATTCGCTTCAAAATGGTGCAGTCTTTTCTAGTTAGAAGCTTTGATGGAAATAGCTCTGAAACACCGGCTTCTCTAAGCTATACAGCTGAGGATTCAAAACCTATCGTTGAGAAAACATCAAACCGTATTCCACTGTGGATGAAACTGCTACCAATAAAGAGATTATCACAGAGCCAGTAGAGGAACATGTTGCCACACAACCAATAAGCGCAGCAAAAGATTCACGACTTCTGTTCTAGCATCCCTAATGGTACTGTGTGACACTCGAAGTTAAGTTCATATCGTAGCATTTCTGTGTTGCCTGTTAAAGTGTTTTTTTTTTTTTTTTTGAACTTTTAAGTTTTTTTTTCCCCATTTTCATGTCATATGGGAGAGTGTTTATTGTTTGGGTCTTGATTCTGCTTCATAAATGACAGTTTCTCAGGTGGTCTCGTTAGGAGTGGAGGCCTTCTGGGGTTTGTGTTTTACAAGTTTAACAACTGGTGTCCTCTATGGTGGTGGGCCTGGTGGCCTTCTATCCCTTTAGTACATTGAGGTAAAAGATTTGGTGACAGGGAAAAGTCTAGTTTAGCTTCTTATATATTAGGACAAGCAGGTAAGCTACATTTACTGTCTACAGGAACAATAAGCAGGTAATCACTACTTTCAATCAGTAATTCAAAAAATGGAGATCTTCTCTCTTTTGATAACTCTGGTGTGTTGGGTTCCTTGTGTAATTTTATACTTTTTACGAGTTGCTAACTATTCTTGTTTGTGACTCTGTTCTTTCCAGTGTCATAATCTAAAATTTTGTTACTTGTGACATGCTATTCTTGTTTTTTTCTTAAGCTCTGTTCACTATTCAGGAGGTTAAACCAAAGGGCTAATCTGGTTGGTGAATGTGATTCCAGCATTTCAAATCAAACAACTCCATGTATAAGAAACTTTATCAAAAAAGTAAGAGTGGAATTTAGAGTAAAAAACAAGAAAGTAATTCGAGTTAAAAGCAAAGCTGAGTTTTATCAAAGGAAGGTTTACAAAGCAAATTTTTGATTAGCAAGTTGCTTGCGCGCTGAGTTTGTTCCAATAGCTGTAATTTACCTAGATTAGTATTATGAGTTTCAAAAAGCACATAGCACACGGTATAAGTTCTAACATTTTACATCATACCACTAATGTAAATGAAAAAAACTTCAGCTTGAAGGACTTTTTAAAAATAGAAACCTTATGAGCCGACCTGCTAATTATTTTTTCTATATATACCGTAAGAATTCACCACATACAATACAATATCAACATTAAAGTTTTTGTTTGCAAAGTCCCTCTAATAAGTCTCTGATCTAATAAGCCTTTCTTATAATTCTCTAAAATGTCGACTGGTGACAGTGTGACCTCACCACCTAAAAAATTGAGTGAACATGAGAAGAAGCAGATGCTTAAAGAGTTCCAGAAGCAGGCCTATGAGGCATTACTTTGTGCCTTTGGCGTGGTAAACAAGGTATATTTTAAAATTATGGTATTGAGAATTTAAATTTTTCTATTGATTCGTACCTAATTGTTCTTTCTCTGACAATTTATTTTATTAAAATGTTTTCTAGGTGATCGATGATGATGTGAAGAAACTATTGAACATCGAAGAGGAGTCTCCAGAGGAAAAGAGGAAGATAGCGTATGAAGCAATGGTGCTTGCAACCACATTCAATTATTCCTCGCTAGAATTCCGCGATGATGTGTTAGCTAGGTTGAGGAATCAACTTCATATAACCGATAGCTTCCACAGAGAATGCCAGATTCGTGTCAACAACAACAGTTTACTCGTCCAATTTACTGGAGAAGCATCCGGCTCGAACAACGTAGGCGAAACAAGCAGGTGGAGTATCAGTCATGTCAAAGACAATATCTTACGTCTTAAGAGGACAAAAAAGTAACTTTAATTCTATCTATGTAGTAATTAATTACCGTATTTCAACGTCTCTGATCTCTGCGACCGAACATACACCATCGTCGCTGTTGATAAATAATTATGAGATCCTTTTTTTTTCTTTTTTTTCTACGTAAATAAAAGATGAGATCTATGTCCAAAAATATTACTTTCATTTTATCAATATATATGTGAATATTATTTCTTATAATTTAACATTGTTTCGCTTCGTAGTGTTTGTTACTTTCTAATTTCTATTATATATGATCCATTTTTTACCCAGAAAAAATATCTAAATTTTGCAAATGAAAGATATTTCAGAACCAGAAAAAACAGAAATGAACAATTGGTAGAAGAAAAATAAAACGTGTTAAAGGACAAAAAGGAAGTATCTCTGCTTCTTTCGTGAGCTCAGTGTGTTAACCCAATATTTCTTCTATATCTTAAAATGATCAAAGGAAACAAGTGTAAACGAAAAAGATGACCTTCGTCTATCAGAACCATTGTTTGAGGAAGAAGCAAACTTGTCAAATTCTGAACTAAAATATTACAGGCCCAAAGCCCAAATCACAAACGAGTCAGGCCCAGTTTCTGGTATCGCGTTTCACGCTTACATACAAGTCGTATCTACATGCGATTCATACAACAAAACAACAACATCCGGCAATAAAAGAATAAGAATTTGTGATATCCTTAGCTTCCTTCCTTTGCTATGAAAATCGTTCCCGATGGATAAGTAGCTTTCGAATTCTCGATCCACCTTTACTTTAACAGTTCGTTTACCTAATTCTCAAACTGATTTTGTTTTCTTCTAAATACGAGAAAAGCAATTAAAAAGTAGAAAACGCCACATCTTTTACAAGTCAAAATTTATTAAATGTGTGTAGAAGATAATTTAACACGTCTTTCTTAACGGAGAAATACCCAGCAGATTGTCAAAAAAAACTTTAATTCTGGTATAGAAGAAAATATACCATTTATATGTCCTTAACATTCCTTTTTTGGGTATAGTGTGATACTAGTAGACTATTTCTCTGTCTTTACTTGTCCCGGTTTACAATGTGCCCCACTTTCTCAAAATAAAAGAAAGATGTAAATTCGCAACAACATAAGTTAGAAAAAAATAAAGAAGAGAAGACGGTCGTTATCAGTTCACGACATTGGTAAAACATGCGCTTTAATCACGCGCTTTCACATCTAATTTAATTACACATAAACCATAAAATAAAAAAATAAAAAAAACAGTATGCATCATCTGCAAAAGAATGTTAAAATTTATTGTTAAAAGCCAATAGAAATCAAATTTCAAAAAGAATTAAAATGAAGAGTAGTAAAACTAAAAAAGGTAAAAGTACCTGGGGCGGCCAAAGGCGCCAGCTCCATTCTCCTCTCTGTCGTCCGCTCGCTTCGTCCCCTGCTTTTACCAAAAGTTCCACCAATCAGCACGCAATATCTGGTTCACGCGTCACGATGGCGCGTTGCATGTAAAATGTATTTTAATAGTAACAAAAAAGCAGCCGGCTGGTATGGACTGGTTCTTGGTGTTTCTTGAATTCGCCGGAATGAAGCAGAGAGCATTGGTCTGGAAGTTGTAGGTGGTAAGTGAGTTTCAGAAGATGAATTTTGGTTGAGAAATGTGAGGGAATTAAGGCAGCCAAGGATTGATATCCCACATGAGAGAGAGCTGCTTTCTCTCTCTGTCTCTCTTGGGAATTTTTGTCCTCTATTGTTTTGGGCCTTTTGGCATAGAGGTTGATTAGACAGACTTTGGGTCTCACATTTTGTAAGCAAGCTTATATTATTACTGGGCCTATAGGCCCAGTTTTCTTTTTCTATTTTTTGCAGCTCATTAAAACCTTAAAAATCAAAAGCTCACAGATATGCATAAAAAAAGCAGAAGAAAAACACCAAAGCTAAAGGCAACACAATTTTTGATGATTTCATTCAAAACAATTTTAACCAATGCAAAAGCAAAATGGAAGAGTAATTTGCAGCCTAATTTTGTGCCTAGCGTCTTACTCATTCGACACTTGAACCTGCTAAATACCATAGGACATGCAATGTACCAATTCCGAATTGATACCTTTTCTAAATTACATTTCCTAACTTATGGTTTATTTAATTTTCGTAACTCTTGATTAGGATCCGAATTTTTTTAAACCGGGTTTTTAGATCCGCGTGTTTTCAAACAGATCTTTTTATGTCTTTGCAAATTTTATACTAAGGGCATTATATCGTAAACACTTTGAAACTTCAAGGAGGTATTCATAAATATACTTTTCAAATAATAGTAGTAGATATATACAAAGAATTTAACCATCGATGAGGTCCCGAAGAGTACTTGCTTGATTATTTTCTTATCATCATATTCATAGCCATTTTTAATTTTATTTCGTGCAGTCTCATTAATCTTGATTGAATTGTGTATGACTATGAGTCTATGAGTATCTTAAAATGTTATTTTTATTGAAAATAATATAGAAAAGTTATTGCTAGCTCAATGCTGAAACAATAATAAGAAAATATATCTATTTTTAATGCTTCCATCCCTTAAACAGTGAGTAAACTTGGGAAATAAGCGATAGAAATCCCTCTATGCTTGAATTTAAAAGCTAAACCATAAGAATTATGTTCCGGGTCATGTATTATTAAAGTATGGCCAATTATCTTCCAACTATGAAGCAAAATCTTATTTTTCTGAAATGTTGTGATTGTTTGTGTTGGCAAATTCGGATCGTGGCGAAACCAAATGGAAGTTCTATTCAAATCAATAGAATACGTCTTCTCCCATTTTTTGCCAGAGTTTAATGACCATATCTCTTGTTTCATGTCCTTCCCCTCTGATATACACAAACGGTCCTTCATGTTGCTTATAGTAACTTGACCATCAGTTGTAAATGGTATTTTCATACTCACTTCAAAAGTTTCACTGGAAAGATCAAAACACACTATATGCCTTTTCGAATTGGTAACTGTGCTTAGCCAATGAAGTGATCCATCTACGTATGTTGGATGATCACAATAAGCGACTTCATAGGGAGAACCAGTCACGTTCCTCCAAGTGTTTGTATTAAAAGAGAAAACCTCGCATGTGGTTGTGTTGTCTAAATCCAACTCTTTCGAATTATATAACCATACCAACTTATATACTCCATTTTTATTGTCTCTTCCCAATCCAAGCAAGGGGAAAGCTATACGTTCATCGGGAGCTAGACAAAAATAAAAGAGTTGAAAAACTAACAATTCAAAACCAACGAAATTACTAAAAAGTTGAAAAAGAAATTCAATATAAAAAAATTCTAAACAAGAAAATCCTAATATGGATCTTCGAATAAAACTTACTGAGTTCCATGAACATAAATTGATAAAGTGAACTTACCACGTCGAGTGTCCAAATGTTCAACAAGATTTTGAAACCTTGCCAAGGGAAGACTCCGATACCATTTTATCGAAGGATTGATCACATAAATCCATCGCATGAAACCGTACATGCATATTAGACCATCGCAACTCTTAGTGACTAAAGCAAACGATTTATCGCATAAAGGATAATAAGAGCGACTCTTCACGAAAACCGATGACTTCAACGTTAATGTGTTTACACAAATTTTAGTGGGTGCGTTCCAATAGTTACGATTTGTCTGGACAAAGAGGATATTCGGATCATGAGATCGCTGACTAAACATCATCTGTCTCTCCTTAAAATATTGAGACATCATCGTTAATTTCCATTCTTTTGATACACATTTGAATTTAATGAGAGATTCAACCGGAAGCTTCTCTAGAATCTTTTCCACAAGATGGTGAGGTAACATTATAGTTGGCCTTTTAATCCCATTAACTTCTCTCTCCCACACCCCAAGTTTAGGTTTATGGTTTCCTCTCTCTTGATCTTCCATTGATATAGTTTTTTTGTTTTGTTATGCGCTTGATGAAACTTATGTTTGCGTTTTTTTTGGTCATTAGTCAAACTTCTTATGCTTGAGTATATATATACAAGATACATGATTTGGAATCATGCTGAGTAAAGGAAATAATCTAGGAGTGTTTTATCTTCTATGCATATCTTTATATCTATTATGAAATGAGAAAGTTTATATGTTTTTCCAATCATCTAATACCATATTTTTTCTTAATTACTTTAGAAAAAAATCTAAATTTCAATTCTTATATGGATATAAATTGTGTATAAGCTTTCTTATTTCAAAGAGAGAGTTTATTTTATATTTATATGTAGAAATTTATATTTCCTTCTCATTTTGTAAGAAAAAAAATCATAAAATTTATACTCTTTGTAGAGATATACATACTTTGCACAAAAAGAAAATACAGAGATACATACTTAGTTTGTCGCTTAAAAGTAACAAGTGGTGACAAAATTTTGAAGAAAGGACAAAGAGGACTATCATACTTTGCGCAAAAAGCAATATCTGGTTCACTCGTCACGTTGGCGCGTTGCATGTAAAATGTATTTTAATAGTAACAAAAAAGCAGCCGGCTGGTATGGACTGTGTCTTGGTGTTTCTTGATTTCGCCGGAAGGAAGCAGAGAGACTCTTGGTCTCTCTGATTTTGTTTTACCTTCGATTTGGTCTCTTAAAATCCGGGTGCTCTGATACCATATTAGAAGTAAATGTGAACAGAAAGAGAGCTCAAAGCAAGAAGAAACTGAGATCGAAGAAGATCTTAGAGATGGAGAAGCAAGGAGCCGAAAGTAGAAAATGTTTCTGTTGCTTTCATTAATGTGAAGATACAAGCCTTATATACACTTTCCTTATCTAACCTACTAAACCCGGGACAAACCGGTTAGGTATATACAAATGAATAAACCAATATAAACCAAAGTCTAATAGACTTCAACTACTTAGTTTTGTACTTATGCAGACTAATAAGCTGATTCCATCCGGGCTTTTTGCTGTTGTCAGGTAAGAAATCCTTTTGTGATCTACAACAGCGTCTGATGTAACCGTGTGACCATGTGTTTATGCCTTTTGTGGATACATGTAAAACATTTGATTTGTCTTTTTCATTGCAGTGCTTTGCATGTTG